TGATTTTTTGCTTCTGGGAATTAATTTTGTTTTCTCGGAGCTAATTTTGAGCTCCGGGAGTTAATTTTGAACTCCGCGAGCTAATTTTGAGCTCCGGGAGCTAATTTTGAGCTCCGGGAGCTAATTTTGAAGTTCGGGAGCTAATTTGGAGCTTTGGAGCTCTGGGAGCTAATTTGGAGCTCCGGGAATTAATTTTGAGCTCCGGGAGATTATTTTGAGCTCCGGGAGAGCTTTGGGAGTTAATTTCGAGCTCCCGGAGTTAATTATGAGCTCTGGGAGCTAATTTTGAACTCTGGGAGCTAATTTTGAGCTTTGGGAGTTAATTTTGAGCTCCGGGAGCTAATTCTGAGCGCTGATTTTGAACTCCGGGACCTAATTTTGAGTTCTGGGAGCTAATTTTGAGCTGCGGGAGCTATTTGAGCTCCGGGAGCTAATTTTTTGCTCCGGGAGCTAATTTTGAATAATTTTGAACTCCGGAGCTAATTTTGAGTTCCGGGAGCTAATTTTGAGCAGCTAATTTGGAGCTTCAGGAGCTAATTTTGAGCTGCGGGAGCTAATTTTGAGCTCCGGGAGCCAATTTGAGCTTTGGGAGCTAATTTTGAGCTCTGGGAATTAATTTTGAGCTATTTGAGCTCCGGGAGCGAATTCTGAGCTCTGGGAGCAATCGGGAGCTAATTTTGAGCTCCGGGAGCTAATTTTGAGCTCGGGAGCTAGTTCCGGGAGCTAATTTTGAGCTCCGGGAGCTAATTTGTGCTCCGGGAGCTAATTTTGAGCTCCGGGAGCTAAGTTTGAGCTAATTTGAGCTCCGAAAAAGCTCCAAGAGCTAATTTTGAGCCCCCCACGCTGACCCTAAAACCTAAACTCTAAAAACAAAACTTTCGCTCAAAACGTTTCGCTCAAAACGTTTCGCTCAAAACGTTTCGCTCAAAACGTTTCGCTCAAAACGTTTCGCTCAAAACGTTTCGCTCAAAACGTTTCGCTCAAAACGTTATTGGGACCCAAACCCTATACAATTTCTATAAACCCTAAACCCTAAACCCTAAACCCTAAACCCTAAACCCTAAACCCTAACCCTAAACCCTAAACCCTAAACCCTAAACCCTAAACCCTAAACCCTAAACCCTGCAGCATGTGTAGCACCACCCCTTCTCTCCAAAACAAGACCAAAACAACCGAACAAATCGCGAATGCATCACCCCCCCCCCCGGCCCCCCACCCACCCACCCCCCAGTTGGGAAACGAGACTTAACTTCGAGCCAAATAAAGAGTAGAAGACTTTGCGCAATCATGTGTGAAACAATATGTTAAGAAGACTTTCTCTGAACTAGAAATGAAAGCTTAAGTTCCAACTGAAAGAAATTCTAAAATTAGAAAAATCATTCTAGCATATAATCCTATGTGAGGGGGTGGTCGTGGAGTGGGGATGGAGGGGAATGGGGGGCCTAAACCCGAAACTCGACGCCCTAAACCCTAACCCTAAGCAGGAGCGGGGCCAGGCGCCGCGGAGAAGTATCTCATGCACCTACTAAACGCCACAATCCCAAAACGAGTGCCCCCCTAATTCTTGGAAACTGCCCTGTTTAGGGTTTAGGGTTTAGGGTTTAGTATTTCGGGTTTAGGGCTTAGGGTTTAGGGTTTAGGGTTTAGGATTTAGGGTCCCTTTATGGTTGGAAGGCATAGACAGGAATTCGGGTGTGCGCATTGTGATTCCAGGCTTGGGGTCTGGATACTTCGGTATTAGGGTTTAGGGTTTAGGGCTTAGGGCTTAGGGTACCCTAAACCGGATTCTAGGAAATCTTTGCGACACAAAGTGGAACCAGCCTCCGAAATCCCAAGCCCTAAAAAACGGTTGTCCCAAAACGCTCGACCGTCTGAACCCTCCATGCCCTTGCGCCCGATGAAGCCTAACCCTACTCGGGTTTGGAGTTTTGGCTTTGAGTCCTGACAGATCCTCGGGTTTGGGGTTTGAGCAGCTTAGGGTTTACAGTTTAGGGGCCAAGAAGCCGAGAGACGAAAAATGGCAACAAGAACGCCCCTAAGAACCCCCAAACCCCAAGCCCTAGAGCTTTAAATCCTAAATCCTAAACCGCAAACCGTAAAGCCTGGGATCTTAATCCTCAAAACCTTCAGTCCTAAAACCCAAACCTCAATTCGCGCGCGAAACCGTGCAACATCAACAACACAGGGCCCACCAAAGACCTGGCAGGAGCCTTGGTGATTGAGGTTCTAACGTAGGGTCTTGTTGAATGTGTCGTCTATAGGACTAGGGTTTGGGGTTTGGGGTTTGGGGTCTGGGGTTTTGCTTGACAAGGGTCTCGGAAACGGGGCTGCATGGAGCGATGCATTCAAGCCGGCACAAACCCGGGGCCAAATCCTTAAGCCCTGTCTACGCACTCACCAAGACCCTAAAGTCCTAGAAATTGAAATCGTTAACCCTTTGACCCTACGACTCTGAAGCCGAATAAACGAATACCCGCACCATATCCGACTGAACCGCAACCTGTGCAGCCATGAAAGGCTTCAGGGTTCAGGGCTCGGTTCAGTGTTTAGGGTTTTAGGGTTTAGGGTTTGGGGTTTTAGGGTTTAGGGTTTTAGGGTTTAGGGTTTAGGTTTAGGGTTTTAGGGTTTAGGGTTTAAGTTTAGGGTTTGAGGTTCTGTGATTTCGGGTTTAGGCTTTAGTCTTCCGGTGGTGCTTGCCAAAGCGCATCTGACCTTCTGAAGCTCTCGAGGATGCGAGTACGGAGGCCTGACCAGGGTTTAGGCTCAAGGTTGAAGGTCTACACCCCAAAAGTTCAGGGTTTGCGTCTAGTAAAGGGTAAGCCCTGAACCCTTTAAACCCTCGCACTGGGAAGCAACCCTCAACGCCTAAACCCTCAAAGCTCCGGCGCCTCCTGCCCATGTGACCGGGCGCTTCTTCGGGCTTCCTCGGACGTGCCCGAGACATGGCTCCTGGTCGTCATACCACAGAACCCTGCGAGAGGCTGGCCTAATTCAGCAATTATTCGGTTTAAGGTGCCATCAACCATCCTTAACTCCTTACACAAGGCCTTGGCCACTGCCTTTGCAGATGTTCATGTCGTGGGCCATGCGTCAGCAAGGAAGTCTCATCACCAGAGGTGCAGGTAGAAACCGCAAGGAATGGTGCCGGGTGCACCAAGAGCAGCACGGTCAGCAGGAAGGCCATAACATCGCATCTACGGTGCGCCGAATGGATGCGCGCGTGTGTTGAAGTAGCAATGGCTGCAGGCAGATGTGTGCTGAGTCCAGATCACGACCGAAACGGGAAAACTAGCTCCACAGCACTGCGTCGTACACGTCCCCAAGCTGGCCCCCTGAACTCTCAAAAAAGACCCTAAGCCCGAAAAGCCCATACGACGGGAGGTGCAAGCGAGCGATATCAAGCTTAGACTCCGATCCCCTTACGATGCGCAGAGTCGTAGCAGCTCCGGTGATTTAACGCTTCAGGCTGACCGTGTTACTGGGTTCTTGTTACAAGGAACTTGCATTAAGTCGCCACAACATTGTTTGCTCAAGATATCGTAAGTGATGTGGGTCTCCATATTCTGGTAACTTGGTGAACTTGGTTTAAGTTCCATAGCAACAAGGGGCTTCAAAGCTTTAGGGCTTCAGGGGATTTAAAGGTTTCAGAGTGGGGGCTGGCGGGTGATACCACAGTAGGGTTCTGGGATGTTTTTGTGCGGGTTGAGGCTGAGGCAATGTAGGGCTGATCAGCTCGAGGGTGGGCATCTGCTCGTTGCTCTTTTACCCCCTCGTTCCTAGCTGCGATGGAGGGCGTACAGTCCCATCTGCGCCTCGGCACTGCTTGGCAGCGGAGTCGACTGAATCAAAGGGTTGGCTCGCAAAGGATTCCTCCGCTGCCGGCCGCTTCCTCTATTCATCTGCCTTGCCGGCTGAATCCGGTAATTTGGCACTTGAGGAATGCTGCGGGAGGAGCAAGCGGCCTGGCAACAAGCCGAAAACTGAACTTCACCACATAACAGCTCAAGACAATGTCACGGACTTTCGCCACTTGCAAGGTTTTCTGCGCCACTTCATGCCAAAAATGCTCAGCAAGGGCGCGCTGAGTGGACGCGAGGTGGGTGAAACGGCGAAGATGCAGGGACCGCAGATCAGGGCTGCCCGCCCGGCCTCTGCCTCAGCAACGTCAGCCGTCAGCTTTCTGCAAGCAAAGCTCTGGGAGAGGTCTGGCCACGCCCCCTGCCTGCAGGCTGCCCTTCCACTTCGAATGCTATTTTGAAGGTCAAAGCCCCAAACATAGTAAGCCAAAAACCCTGTCCCATTCACCCCCAAACATCCCCAAAGCCTCTAGCCCGCGAAAAGCCGAAAGCCCCCGGACTCGGTTGCCCCCTCAGCTTTACGCGTCCCCGAATCCCCCTTGACACCATTAAGCATCACACAAGCCCCCAAAACGACTCTGACACAAACGAGCCTCCTCCAAACCCACTTGAGCTGAGAGAAGCCCGAGATTCCAACAAAATCCTGAGACGCCGGCCCCATCGAAGCCCCCCCTACAAACCCTGAGCCAAGAACAACTCTCCGACAGAACCACCCTGGGGAAGCACCTCAAACACATGCCCTCCCCTCAAGCCTAAGCCTTGCAATGGAAGCCCAGCATCGGTACAAAATCCCAAGCTGGCAGACCAAGGCTCCTGGCTTGGCGAGGACGTGCCTCCATAAGGCCCTTGGGGATCGACCTGACATGGGGGCCGAAAACATATTTGGCTCTCAAGCCGCGCTCGTCTGTCCTCCCCCTCTCCCTTCCCCCCCCCACAAGTAATAGGTGAATAGGAAGAGCAGCGCCACCTCTTTACCCAGCTCTCTTGCCCACTTGTTTTGTTGCTCTAATAGTCTTGTTCCGCACCCCACTGTGAGTGTATTTCGATCTCGGCCCACTTCCCTCAGCGTGTATGAAGGGTGTTCCGGGTGCTGGCTCTCAGGCTTGGGAAGCTTCGGATCCGGCCGCTTCACCACTTCCCACCTCACGCGGCGGCCCGCAGCGCATCGGCGCAGCCCTTATGGCCGTTCTGCTCCGCCCATTCAAGGGCCGTCTTGCCTCGGTGTCGGACACAGGCGCCCTTCGACCTTTCGGGAGTTCCGGGCATGCAAGCCTTACCCCCCCTGCCTATCTAGGGTCTTGTAGGGCGTTCAGATCATCAGGATCTGCTGAACTTTCACGTTGTGGGTCAGATTCAGGGATTGAGGCTCAAGGCTTTGACCTTTTCGTAAGCAGTCGTCAACTCAACATACAGAAGACGGCTGAATTCGGTTCTCGGGCGCCGTAGGGTCGAGGCCTCTGCTTGCATGCGTCCTGGACTCGGGAGAGAGGCTCTGAGGTCGGGACGATCGTCATCCCGCACCGCCTGGCACGAAGGAAGGTAGGAAGGGTGGAACGATAGGCTGCGAGCTGCACCTAGGGTTCTTCTGGGCAAGACAGAGAACCTGCTGATGTGTGTGTGGCGCAGCTGGGGAATGGTGGAAGTGGACATTGAAAAAGCATCAGAGACTGCATTGCTGATCAGGTGTATTCTGCATACATCGAAGCGGCTTGGAGCATGGACGCAGGTCTTTCCCCTCCGCAAGGCTGGATATGCAACCCTCGGAGGGGGTCGTGGATAGGAGTCTGGGGTTCTTCATCGACACACAACCCAGGATCCCCGATTCCCCTCCCTCCTTCCCTGGCCTGGTCGGCGCCAGCGCGGAGCAGCGCCTGGACGCATTCCAACTGGCCTTTGTATGCCGCGATGATGAGCGGGGTCGAGCCTCAGGCCGAGAGCAACCGACTTCATTGCGACTGGCTCAACCCACGTTGACCAGCAGAGGCTTCAGTGCCGTCCGAGGCACAAAAGACACCTCTCTTCTAGCGCCGGCCAGGGAGGTGTGACAAATCCACAAACCGCCAAGGAGTTGTGACAGATCCACAAACACCCATGCGATTCATGGCACCCCTAAACCCCGGGCTTGTGTGAACTGCATCCTAAGCAGGCATAAGCTGGGTGCGGGGACCTGCGAAGCACGAAGGCCAGAGATGCGCCACGCTGAGGTTGACTCTCGCGCTCAGAGTGTGCCCCTGCTCCAAGGATGGCACGCGCTTTCGAGGTGCCTCCCTGAGCCATCCACTGTGGCATACGCAATGAGCTCAAGATAGGCTCAAGCCGAGAAGAACTGACAGTGCCAGGCAGTTCTGGGGTTTTGGAGTTCTGGCTGGGGTTTTCGGGGGCTGTGCTTATAAACCTCTCTGTGCCTCAGGAGGTGTTGACTCTGCCAACAAACATCTACAGTAAAACGGCCGCTCTTTTCAGAAGCACTACAGCGACCACAGTATATGCTGTAGCTCTCCGGCAGCGTATCGCCTTCCCTTCGAGATGGCTGTACACCCTGATCCCCTGCCTTCCGTGCACGTCGACTCGGCGCTCGGCGCGAAAAACAACGAAGGCTGCGGCGCTCTGCGGCCCTTGAGGCCCCGGCCATCATTCTTGCGTGCGTCCTGGAACCAGGGGGGGTGGAGGAGGGCGTGCAATTCGGGAGGGTGCTTCGAGGCAGGGCTTATGTTGGAGATGGGAAACGTCTAAGACATAGATCTGCTCCGGCGTTCCCGTCAAGATTTCAGGAACTATGCGTGTGTATTATGTCTATCTATAAGGCATGGGGATCGGCAGATGGCGCGCGCCGCGCAGCATTTTTGGAGATGTGGCGGATGGAAGCGTTTGCGGCCTGCCCCATCGTCTCATTGCAGGCGACTCGTCGAAATTGAGGGCGACAAAAGTTTGGGACGTCTTTCCTTCACGTCTTGGCCTCGGGAGCTTTGGGCGCTTCCTTGACCTTTTCTTCTGTTGATGGATGTGCGCCACTCTGTCCGGAAAACGTCTGGCTGGTCTCGGGAAGTCAGTCGAATCAGGATTGATGGAGCATGGGGCTTGCGAGGGTCCGAACCCGGGGTTGCCCGGACCTGTGGGATTTCTGTCTTATCAAGGCGGAGCCGATCGGCCGCACCCCGAGCTGGCAAGCCTCCCTGTCCTCGCGCCATTGTATGCAAAACAGCTACATCCCCTGCCCACGAGCCCCCCCATCTGAAGGCAGCCTTGGACTCCTTCGCCTCTGGCTACAAGCTGCAGGAGTTTTGGCACTCCTGCTGCGCATCCTCACTGCTTTCCATGTTCGTGGTTGCTTTGCTGTTGCTCTCAGTGTCTGCGAAGTTTCCACAACTTGCCGGAAGAAGACCACCGGCTCAGGTTGGCAAGGATGCCTGACATGCTAAGTCTCTTACGACGACAGGGGCCAGCGCAACCGACGAGCACGTGGTGTTCGGGCGGCTCGATGAGACTGAGGCCGCGGAGTTGGGGCACCTTAAGCCTTCACCCTGGTGGGGTTTCGGCCTCCAGCCGCGGAACATGTCACAGTTGCTTGCACTTCCTGTCGCTCTGAGCCGATGCACTCCTTCTGGAATGATGCGCTGTCTGATTTGACCGTTCTTGGTGGGAAGTCACGTCCAGCCTGCTCAGGGACTCTTTGAGCGGGAAGGTTTGCTACGACGGGAAGCCTTGAAGGCCTCTGGCTATGGCTGCTAGCTGCAGGAATTGTCGGGAGTCTTGCTGCATCCTCACTGCTTCCACGTTCGTTTTTGATGTTTTTGCTTTCCTGGCATGGCGCGGATGGCGTGTATGGCGTGCGTGGCCTGGAGCGGACCAGACACCCGCACATGGCCCAAAACCCCTCAACCCACTCAACCCGAAGCCGCGAACTCCCAAACCCTAAACCTCCATCAAGCCCTCCCAAGTCCTACAAAGCCTAAACCTGCCTTGAAGCCTAAAATCCCAAATCCTAAGCTCCCTCCGCCCCTCAACCCGCCTTCCCATCCCCTGCGCGGCATTCCCCTTCCCCTGCCCCGACTGCCCTTCCGAAACACTTGGCCGAGGATCACTCATGACATTCCCCCTCCCCTGCGCCGACTCCCCCCCTTGCTGCAAAACAGTTGCTCTTTAAGATTTTTTCGGGAAGCGACCTCTGCGAATCCCTGCGAATGCCTCTGAAAAAGACTCTGAAGAAAAAAAACACTCCGAAAGCCGCTCCATCTTGGGAGTTTGGGGCTGTGCTGCTCGAGTGGTGTGGGGGATCTCTGTCCCGTCTTGGCTTTCGGGACCGCTGGAGTTCTGCAACGCCACGCTGGAGCTTCAAGTCCGGAGCCTGGGGGCCACTCGAGAAATTTGCAAACCTCCGAAACCGAGCCCTTGACCCCCCGAGCGCCTTGTCGGCGCCGGCATTCAGCAGCGCCCGGAGGCACTCCAGCTGGCCTTGCGCTGCGATGTGGAGCGGAGTCCAACCTCGCGCCAAGACCCAACACAAGCTTCAACCTGCTCGCGTTTGCAGCGTTCCAAGCATTTTGCCGCTGAGGCCAATAAAGCTAATGCTGGCAGCTTTGAGGGCTTTGGAGTTGCTGCGGGGATGCAGAGGCTACATGCTTTATAGACCTTTCCGTCTTCCCCCCACGGCCGGGGGGAAGGACACCTGAAAGCCGGGCTACCCAAGTCAGACTTTTTGGTGGGGTGGCTTGAGGAGAACGCATTCTTCAGAGTTCAAGGCGAACGTGTATACTTTATGAATACAAAAGAGGAGTGCGAACCATCTCCGTGAGTCCCGGTTCCCTCCATAGGACCTCAGTTAGGTAAAATCTCTGAATAGGTCTGAGTAGGTGAGAAGACCCAGACAAGTTCCCACGGATGCCCAGGCCCGTTCCCTGGTCCCCTGTTCCCCTTCGGCAGCTGCTAGCATGACCGACATGCTCGCATTTCGGAAGCTCGCCTGTCGGTTCAGGGAATGCATCTTTCGAGCCTTGCAACACTCCTGCTGCAAGGATGGCGCGCACTTTCGAGGTGCCTCCCTGAAACAACAACTGTGCCATACGCGATTTGCTCAAGATGTGTGCGCAAACCGAGAAGAAGTGACAGTGCCAGGCAGTTTTTGGGGGGACATCGGAAGCTGAGATTTCTGGACCTCTCTGTGTCTGAATGGGGGTATTGCCAACCGACGTTTACAGTAAAGAGCCGCTGGTTTCAATCGCCCTAGCCCCAGCATCCCCGGCTGATGTCCAGAAACCTCGACAAAAAGAGGCACTACAGTGACTACAGTATATATGCCGTAGCTTTGCAGCAGCGCATCGCCTCCCCCTTCGAGATGGGTGTATGCTCCCCCTGCGATCCCCTGCCTTCTGCGCACGTCGACTCGGCGCTTCCCGGCGCGCGAAGGAAAGAAAAAAAAAACAAGCGAAGGCTGCAGCACTCTGCGGCCCTTGAGGCCCCGGGCCGCTCTCCAGGCGAGCGTCCTGGCACCAGGGGGGTGGAAAAGCGGGCGTGCAACTCGGGAGGGTGCTTTCGAGGCAAGGCTTATGTTGGAGATGGGAAACGTCTAGGTATGGGTGGGGGACTTATAACAAAACATAGATTTGCTCTGAGGGGGTCCCGTCAACACTTCAGGAACGATGCGTGTGTATTGTATCTATCTATAAGGCGTGTGGATCGGTATCTATCTAAAAGGCGTGGGGATCGGCAGATGGCGCGCGCCGTGCAGCTTCTTTGGAGATGTGGTGGGTGGAAGCGAAGGCGGCATGCCCCATCGTTTCATTGCGGGCGACTCGTCGAATGTGAGGCCGATAAGAGCTTGCGAAGTCTTTCCTTCATGGCCCCTGGTAGCTTTGGGCCTCCCGTTCGGTGAGGCCATTTCTCAGGACCGCTGCGGGCCCTCCGCTTCCTTAGACCTTGTCTTTTGTTGATGGATGTGCGCCACTCTCTCCGGAGAACGTCTGGGAAGTCAGCCAAATCACGATTGACGCAGCATGGGGCTTGCGAGGGTCCGAACCCGGGGTTACCCGGACGTGTGGGAGTTCTGCCTAATCGAGGAGGCACTTGGAGCCAATCCTGCCGCAGGCCGATGCAGGCCGCACCCCCTTCGCCCCAGTTCTAGGCTGGCATGCCTCCCCAACATGTTCTCGTGGGGCCTTTCCTCGCTCTCATTGGACTCAAAATGGAATCACGGTTGACAGAGAGTAAGAGAGTGCAAGCTTTGGAGGGATTGACCGTGCAAGCCAGGCTTCATATGACGGCGCAGGATGGCGCAGGGTAGCAGCGTCAGGAAGAGCCATTCGCTTTACGAAGCTCTTCCTTGAAAGGGCTGCCCGACCAGCCCGAGAAAGTCCGGCTGAGGTACCCAAACAGTCTTCGCCCCAGCTGCTACTCTTTCTTGAGGGCATGGGATCTTGGGGGGACCTTTGGGTACAGGAGAGGAAGTTTCAGGTTGAAGCATCTCACTGATGCAGCAGTTCTCTCCTTGACTCCGTTTTGCCACTCTGTACTGGAAGCGGCTGGAAGCGGCTGCTTTCGGAGCCGGCCCCAAACCCTCGCGCCTTTGCGGCGCCGGCGCGGAGCAGCGCCTCCAGGCACGCGAGGTGGCCCCTCTCCGCTGCGACGTGGAGCGGGGTCCAGCCTCGGGCCGAGGCTTCGCACACCGGACCGAGTGCCATGCTGCGCAGCGCGAAAGAGGGCACAATTGCGGAAAGATCTCCCCAAAAAAGCTCGCCACGATTTGGCCCGCTTTGGAAGGTCCAGGGTCTAGAGGTTCCGCTTGAGCGGCTGGTTTCCGGGAACCAACTCAAGGACTCGCGCTCAGGAGCAAACCCACCCGTTCGGCTCGAGTTGCTCTTTTGACGAAAGCCCTCTATTCTGAACAGGGCCTTGAAAGGATCCGGAATGGTCGCGGGACCCGAGCTAGTGAAACCTCCAGCTGCACGCAAAGCGCAGGACAGGCGCATCCTAAGGTTCTGATTCCGAGCGGCGAGCCGATGTGAATCATTTCTCCCTATAGATTTTAAACCTGGAGCAGAAGGCTGTGTTGTTTTCACGATGACAGCCTCGGTCCACGGGGCTGAGGGTTGAGAGCTGAAGATGTAGCGCGTTTGGGACTTGAGGTTTGGTGCAGTTTTGGCGTTAGAAAATCTAAGCTTGGGCTGAGTTTGCCTCCACAGCTTGACCCGCGTGTCTGCTCCATGGCCACCCAGAGCGCGGCAAAAAAAGAGATTCATTCAACCTTTTGGAGAGCGTGTGTGGTCGAAGAAACGCAGGGGCGCTCAATTGAGACGTTTTTGGGCTGTCTGAAAACGGGGGGACCTGGGCAGAGCGCGCCGCGCCTGCAGTGAGCCCGGACAGCCCCAAACCAACCCTCCCAAACATGCCGTGTCCCTGGGCGGAACCGGGGAGGGGGGGGGGGTTCCCACGAATGCCACAAGGCCCGACACTCGGCTTCCCAAGGCATCTGCACGCGTGAAATCCCGGAACCCCGGTTCGAAACCCCCCGCGCCGGACCAACCCTCCAAAGTTCTCCTTTTGAGACCCCAACCGAAAGGAACTGACAGTCTCGCATCTGCGCGCGCAAACCGAGCAGATATGACAGTGCCGGGCAGTTTTGGCGGGTTTCCTAGCCCCAGCTGATTTTGAGAAACTTTACAAGAAGAACCACTACAGTGACTCCAGTATTTGCTGTAGCTCCACGGCAGCGCATCGCATCCCCTTCGCGATGGCTCTACACGTCGACTCGGCGTTTCTCGGCGCACGAAAGAGAAGAAAAGACTCGAAGGCTGCGGCACTCTGCGGCCCTTTGAGGCCCCGGCCATCCTTCCGGCAGGCGTCCTGGAACCAGGGAGAGAGAGGAGGGGCGCACACCCCATGTGATGTTTTTTTGTTGGAGAAGGGGACCGTCTAAGTCTGGCTCCGGACATTTCTCAGATAGAGCTCTTGTCGAGAGGGTCCCGTCAAGAACCCAGAGACGATGCAAAAAAACAAAACGAGAGGGGATGTGCAGAATTCTGCAGATGTTGGGAGACGTGGATGGAAGCAAGGGCGGCCTTGGAGCTCCCCCTTACGAACACCTCTGAAAAAGCTCTGCAATTTTGCCAGGCCCGAGTGTTTCATGGCAGGTGGCCTCTTGAAAGTGAGGCTACACGGCTACACGGAGTTTGGGGGCGCCTTGCCTTTATTTCTTTTGACACTGTGAGGCAGCTGCAAATGACACTTTGCTACAGGCGCTGTACCTCAAAGGGCCCCAGGAGCAGCAAACAACTTGAGGGCATCTTCTGGTGTGCACCCTGCCCCGCGGAACATGTCACACGTGAGCCAGTCTTTTTAGAAATGATGCGCTGTCAAATTTGACCGGTCTTGGTGGGAAGTCACGTCAGCCTGCTCAGGAACTATTTGAGCGGAAATGTCATGTTCAGAAATCGGTTGACTGAGCGTGCAGGTTGCGAGGGTCTGGCCCCTGGGGTAGCCCGCGCGCTTGGGGAGCTGTCTAGGCGCTCGGGGCCATCCGATGCAGCATGATGCAGAATGATGCTGCATGATGAAGCATGCTGCGGCAGCAAGCCGCATGAGGCGCTCGAAGCACTAGGGGATTTACCCTTCCCATCGCCAGCCCACGAATCCCCCGATGAGACTGCCTGCCCCTGACACAGACCCCTTCCGTTTGCTGCGAAGGGAAGCTTGGAAGGTTTTGGCTATGGCTGCTAGCTGCAGGAGGAGAATTATTGGAAGTCTTGCTTCATCGTCGTTTCTTTCCATGCTCGTTTTTGCTTTCCTGTTAAGGTGGGTGTGGCTGGGACTCTGCACTCAGTAACGGCTTGCCTTCTGGCAGACGTCACCTTTTCTTCGGGTTGAGGGGACCCTGCGAATGCCTCTCGCTAGTTTGGATAGAGGGAGCATCATGGACTTGATGATGCTGGATGGCTGCATTCTTCGAGTGAAAGGGGCCTGGCCCTAGGCGTGCAGGCGAGGTGTATGTGGTTTTTTCTCCCTTCCCCTGCCCCGACTCAATTTCCGAAACTCTGACCCTTAGGACCGGGCTTGGAATCCCTGCGAAGGCCTCTGAAAAAGACTCTGATCAAAACCAGTTTGAAAGCCACTACAGGCGTTCTTTCGAGCTCTCGCAGCAACCTGCCCCTGCTGCTTTGGGTACCTGACTGCTTGCTGCTTGCCAGAGAGCTTGGGCCCTTCGGGCCGCGCGTGGGCTTTCATTCCTTATTTTACACACACGTCTGTAACCGAGCCCTACAACCCCCCGCCGCCTTGTCGGCGCCGGCGTTCAGCAGCGCCCGGAGGCACTCCAGCTGGCCCTTCTGCGCTGCGATGAAGAGCGGGGTCGCGCCTCGGGCCAAGACCCACGCACGGAACACAATATTTTCCCAGGCCGTTCGTATCACTAGCCTGCTCGCGTTTACGATGCGTTTACCGTTTACCCTGCTGAATATGGGGAGTGGGATCTTGGGGCAAGCTCGCAGAAGCTGGACAACCCACCTGGCGGCACGGGAGCTTTGGAGTTCTGGTGCCTGGCTGGGCCTCTTCCAGGGCTCTTTGCCTTATGGACCCTTCGTTCCTTCGTTCTGGTAACCCCTCAATTCGGGGTGTGAAGGGGGGAGGATCTTGCAAAGTCCTAATGGGTCTTCAATGGGGGCTCTCCAAACGTCAGCTCAAGAACGGACCTTCGCAAACTTCAGATTTCAAGGTGTGCACGTGCTTGCATAAACCGACTTGCGTGCGTGAGCCCCAGGCAGCTCCAGCCCGCCCCCCCCCCCCCCCCCCCAAGCATCCTATTTCAGAGCCCTTGACGAACTGAACTGGGGGGATTCCCACGAGCACCACAGGCCGAAACCAAGTTCGGCCCCCGCAGGACAAACGCACCTCCCGATTTTCAGGGAGCAGACTCCACATACACCACATACACCATGCTTGCACTCTAAGCTTGCATTACCTCACCCACGTGTCTGCTCAATGGCCGCCCAGAGAGTGGCCAAAAAATAGATTCAAACCCTTGGGGAGCATGGTCGAAGGAAAAGTGCAGCCTGGACCCTGTCAAGGCTCAACTTTGCAGGGCATGCTCCAGCTGTGACGGGCTTTGGAGTCTTAGTGGGAGGTTTCCGGGCATGCCATGGCTGTGTGCCTTCGACCTTTCTGTCTCCCCGCCTTCCCACGCAAACCCCTCAGGTTGGCCTGGAGCGGCGCTCGTTTAAAACCTTCTTGGGCTCTGAATCGGCATGGGGTCTGAAATCGGGGCTTCCCCAAGACGTCAGGAACCTCATGAAAGACCTGGGCAGCGTGCACCCTTCAAGGAACTTCAAGGTACATGAACCGCCTGCAGTGACCCACCCCACTGGGCAGCCCCAAACCCCGACCATCCCAAACATCCCTTTTCAGACCCTTTGGCTTGGCGGAATTGAGGGGGGTTCCGCCTGCTTGCCACAAGGCCCAGATCCCGGCTTCACACAAGTTAGCCGCATGCGTGAGCCCCGGAGCGTTTTAGGACCCCATTAGGAAACAGGTAGGGGGAACAGGTCTCAGTAGGCCAACCCTCCAAAAAATCCCCGTTTCTGTGCATGTCGACTCGGCGCTTCTCGGCGCGCGAAGGAGAAAAACAGCGAAGGCTGGCACACTGCGGCCCTAGAGGCCCCGGCCATCGTTCGCACGAGCATCCTGGACCGGAGGGGAAGGAAGGTGCACAAATTTCGGGAGGTGCTTCGAGGCAGGGCTTCTAAATACGGGCCCGGACATCTTCTTAGACATAGCTCTTTTTGAGAGGGTCTCGTCACGGTCTCGTCAACAATAGAGGGGATGGTGGTCACTGTGCAGTCTTCGGAAACGTGGATGTAAGAGAAGGCACCTTGGAGCTCCCCCTTACGAAGGCCTTCTGAAAAAAATAGAAGGCTCTGAACAAAGCCACTTTGAAAGCCGCTGCCAGGCGTTCTTTCGAGCTCTCGCCGCAACCTGCCCCTGCTGTTTTTTTAAGTTTGGGTACCTGACTGCTTGCTGCTTGCCAGCCTGTGGTGCGGGCTGCGCTGGGGTTGTGGGCCATTGCTGCTCGAGTAGAGTTTGGGGATCCCTGTCTCATCTTGGCATTTAGGGACGGCCTGAGTTCTGCAACTCCGGTGTGGTGGTCGGGCCCTTCGGGCCATGGCTGAGGCATTCAACGAGATGTCCCGTATTTATCTTATTTTGCAAACCATGCAAACCTCCGAAACCGAGCCCTACAACCCCCCGCCGCCTTGTCGGCGCCGGCGTTCAGCAGCGCCCGGAGGCACTCCAGCTGGCCCTTCTGCACTGCGATGAAGAGCGGGGTCGCGCCTCGGGCCAAGACCCACGCACGGAACACAATATTTTCCCAGGCCGTTCGTATCACTAGCCTGCTCGCGTTTACGATGCGTTTACCGTTTACCCTGCTGAATATGGGGAGTGGGATCTTGGGGCAAGCTCGCAGAAGCTGGACAACCCACCTGGCGGCACGGGAGCTTTGGAGTTCTGGTGCCTGGCTGGGCCTCTTCCAGGGCTCTTTGCCTTATGGAACCTTCGTTCCCTCGTTCTGGTAACCCCTCAATTTCGTACCTAGGACTTATAGGCGAAGCCCCCCAAAGGTCCCCTTTGGGACCCGTAAGAAACTTTCTCAGAAACCGATAAAGTTTCTGCGGGCGCCTTTGCCCGAACCCAGGTTCCCTGGTCCCCTTCGGCAGCTGCTGGCATGAAAGACATGCTCGCATTACCGCAGCTCACCTTTCAGCAAGGATGGCACACACTTTCGAGGTGCCTGAACCATCGACTGTGCCGTACGCGATGAGCTCAAGATGCGCGCGCGCAAACCGAAAAGAAGTGACGGTGCAGGGCAGTTTTTGGGGGGTTTGGGAGTTTCGGTGGGGGATGTGCCGGGGCTGTGCTTCAGAGAATCACAATTGACGACCCGTCGAAGGCAGTCTGCATATGACTCTATGACGGCACAGGGCCGCTGCGTCTGGAGAAGCTACGAGCCCACGCTCTTCCCTGAAAGGACCTCAGGCAGGGATCTTACACATCTGTGTAGGGCACCCACCCAGCTGCTCAAGGCATGGGGGCTCCGATGCGGAGGATGTCCCGCCCGGCAGCACGGAGGGGGCTTTGGAGGTCTGGTGCCGCTGGAGCTACGGCTCTTGCCTTATAACCTCTTTCCGAAACCCCTTCAGGTTCGGGGGGGGGGGGAAAGACTTTTTGGGGGGTCTTAACGGACCATAAATGGGGGCTCTCCGGACATCAGCTCAAGAACGGAACCTACGACCTCCGATTCCGATTTCAAGTGATTTTCACATGAAAGGGATACAAGCGAACCACCTGCATGCCCTGGGCAGCCTGAACCCGCTCACATTTACAGCAGCACCATCGACGCTGCTCATGACAAGTGCTCTCAGCATCCCGGAGGCTTATGCCAAAAGAGAGCCCTCTTTTTGTCAAACCACTTTGGCAGCTTTGTGTTCCTTGCTGTTTCGAGGCTGTGAGGAGTCTTCGCAACCGTCCTGTCTGAAAACGGGGGACCTGGGCAGAGTGCGCCGCACCTGCAGTGAGCCCGGGCCCTCCCCAAACCAACCCTCCCAAACATCCGGAACTGGAACTGGGGGGGGTTCCACGGGTGCCACAAGGCCCGAATCCCGCTTCGCAAAGCATCTGCATGCATGAGCTCCCGAAACCCTTTAGGACCTTACAGGAAAGAGGTCTGAGTGGGTTCGAAGTCCCCTCAGGCCAATTCTCCCAAGTTCTCCTTTTGAGACCCTTAAAAAGGCAAAGTTCCCATGGCTGCCCCAGGCCCCCAACCGAAAGGAACCGGCATGCTCGCATTACGGAGGCTCGCCTTTCAGAGAAGACCTGCCTTCGTGTATCTTCCGAGCACTGCGTGCAAGGATGGTACTCACTGGCGAGGTGCCTCCCTGAACCATCACCTGTGCCATACGCAATTGGCTCAAGCTGCGCGCGCAAACCGAGAAGATATGACAGTGCCGGGCAGGATTGGCGGGTTTCCTAGCCCCAGCTGATTTTCAGAAACCTTTACAAGAAGAACCGCTCCAGTGACTCGAGTAAATGCTGTAGCTCTACGGAAGCGCATCGCCTCCCCTTCGCGATGGCTCTACACGTCGACTCGGCACTTCTCGGCGCGCGAAGGAGAAAAGGCTCGCAGGCTGCGGCACTCTGCGGTTGTTGAGGCTGCGGCCATTCTTGTTGCAGGCGTCCTGGATCCAGGGAGAGACAGGAGGGGCGCACATACGTTTGATGCTGCTTATATGTTGGAGAAGGGGACCGTCTAAATAGGGCTCCGGACCGCAAAGAACCCAGAAACGATGCAAGAACCGAAAGAGAGGGGATGTGCGGAATTCTGTAGATGTTGGGAGACGTGGATGGAAGCGAAGGCGGCCTTGCAGCTCCCCCTTACGAACACCTGCAAATTTGCCAGGCCCCATTGTTTCAGGCAGGTGGCCTCTTGAAAGCGAGGCTACACGGCTACACAGAGTTTGGGGCGTCACTGCTTTTGATGTTGTGAGGCAGCTGCAAATGACACTTTGCTACAGGCGCTGTGCCTCAAGGGGCCCCAGGAGCAGCAAACAACTTCAGGGCATCTTCTGGCGTGTACCCTGCCCCGCGGAACATGTCACACGTGAGCCAGTCTTTCTGCACATGATGCGCTGTCTGATTTGACCGGTCTTGGTGGGAAGTCACGTCAGCCTGCTCAGGGACTCTTTGAGCAGAAATGTCATGTTCAGAAAGCGGTTGACTGAGCGTGCAGGTTGCGAGGGTCTGGCTCCTGGGGTAGCCCGCGCACTTGGGGAGCTGTCTAGGCGCTCGGCGCCATCCGATGCAGCATGATGCAGAATCATGCTGCATGATGAAGCATGATGCGGCAGCAAGCCGCATGAGGCGCTCGAAACACTAGGGGATTTACCGTTCCCATCGCCTGCCCACGAATCCCCCGATGAGACTGCCTGCCCCTGACACAGAACCCTTCCGTTTGCTGCGAAGGGAAGCTTGGAAGGTTTTGGCTACGGCTGCTAGCTGCAGGAGGAGAATTATTGGAAGTCTTGCTTCATCGTCGCTGCTTTCCATGCTCGTTTTTGCTTTCCTGTTAAGGTGGGTGTGGCTTGGACTCTGCACTCAGTAACGGCTTGCATTCTAACAGACGTTACCTTTTCTTCGGGTTGAGGGGACCCTGCGAATGCCTCTCGCTAGTTTGGATACGATGGAGTGGGCAATGAGGGAGCATCATGGACTTGATGATGCTAGATGGCTGCATTCTTCGAGGAGGCGCTGGCCCCGCATGCCCTATCTGTTCTTGCTAATTGTCTGGGCGGCTTGAAAGGGGCCTGGCCCTACAAGGGGCTAGGTTAACTCACATCTTCGCGGGTGAAGCCACATCTCCCCAGCGACACGCGGCTGCGAGCGAAGTCACATCACCCCGCGTAAAGTCGCATCACAGAGACATATGTTGAAGCCTTTCCCCAATGTGCACACGCCGCACGCGCATGTTCTCGACACACATGCAAAATACACACTTGTCACCGCACGCCCGGGAGGGGAGCACATTTTTGTCAGCGTGAATGAGACTTCTGCTTGGGGGTGCAAGTGAGTTCTGACCAATCTTGGAATTCGCGAATCGCCAGTGTGCACACGCCCGAGATACGACTTTACACAAGAAGATACGACTTAACCTACCCTCTTGTAGGCGTGCAGGCGAGGTGTATGTGATTTTTCTCCCTTCCCCTGCCCCGACTCAATTTCCGAAACTCTGACCCTTAGGACCGGGCTTGGAATCCCTGCCTGAAAAGACTGAACGAAACCATTTTGAAAGCCACTACAGGCGTTCTTTCGAGCTCTCGCAGCAACCTGCCCCTGCTGCTTTGGGTACCTAACTGCTTGCTGCTTGCCTGCCTGTGGTGCTGGCTGCATTGGGGCGGCTGCTTTGCTGCTCGCTGCACTCCGATGTGGAGCCTTCAAGTCCGGAGCTTGGGCCCTTCGGGCCGCGCGTGGGCTTTCATTCCTTATTTTACACAAACCCCTCTGTATTCGAGCCCTCAACCCCCTGAGCGCCTTGTCGGCGCCGGCGTTCAGCAGCGCCCCGAGGCACTCCAGCTGGCCTTTCTCCGCTGCGACGTAGAGCGGGGTCGCGCCTCGGGCCAAGACCCATGGAACACAATGTTTTCCCAGGCAGCGAGGCTGAAGCCAATAAAAGAGAGCCCCACTTTTTTTCAACCACTTCAGCTTTTGTGTTCCTTTGCCACTGCTGACAGCTTTGAGGGCTTTGGAGTTGCTCTGGGCATGCAGAGGCCATGCGTTATAGACCTGTCCGTCTCCCCCTTCTGCCCACGGCAGGGGCAGGGACCACCTGAAGGCCGGGCTACCCCACTCAGACCTATTGGGGTGGTCTACAATGGTGGGTAAAGAGGGGAACGCATCCTTCAGAGTTCAAGGCAAACGCGTGTGCTTTTTTCATAAGAGGAGAGCGAACCATCTCCAAGCGTGAGCCCCGGTGGCCTCCAGGATCTCAGGAAAAGGGTAGGGAAAAGGTTTGAATAGGTCTGAGTAGGTGAGGAGTCCCCCGTTTTTTCAGACCCCAACCCTCCAAAGTTCCCCTTTGAAGACGCTTAACAAATTGAGAAAAATTCCCACGCATGCCCAGGCCCGAACCCACATTCCCTGGACCCCTTCGGCTGCGACACACTCGCATTACGGCAGCTCGCCTTTCTGGGAAGACAGCTTGTTTTTTTTTACATCTCTCGAGCACTGCGATGCCCCTGCTGCAGTGCGCACACCGAGAAGAAGTGACAGTGCCAGGCAGTTTTTGGGGGACATCGGAGGCTGCGATTTTTGGACCTCCCTGTGTCTGAATGGGGCTACAGACATTTACTCTTTTCAATCGCCCTAGCCCCAGCATCCCCAGCTGATGGGGCTTTGGAGTTCTGGTGCCTGGCTGGGCCTCTTCCAGGGCTCCTTGCCTTATGGACCCTTCGTTCCCTCGTTCTGGTAACCCCTCAATTTCGGGGTGTGAAGGGGGGAGGACCTTGCAAAGTCCTAATGGGTCTTCAATGGGGGCTCTCCAGACGTCAGCTCAAGAACGGACCTTTGCAAACTTCAGATTTCAAGGTGTGCACGTGCTTGCATAAACCGACTTGCGTGCGTGAGCCCCAGGCAGCTCCAGCCCGCCCCCCCCCCCTCCCCCAAGCATCCTATTTCAGAGCCCTTGGCTGAACTGGGGGGATTCCCACTAGCACCACACGCCGAAACCAAGTTCGGCCCCCGCAGGACAAACGCACCTCCCGATTTTCAGGGAGCAGACTCCACATACACCACATACACCATGCTTGCACTCTCAGCTTGCATTACCTCACCCACGTGTCTGCTCAATGGCCGCCCAGAGCGTGGCCAAAAAATAGCTTCAAACTCTTGGGGAGCGTGGTCGAAGGAAAAGTGCAGCCTGGACCCTGTCAAGGCTCAACTTTGCAGGGCATGCTCCAGTTGTGACGGGCTTTGGAGTCTTAGTGGGAGGTTTCCGGGCAGGGCCATGGCTGTGTGCCTTCGACCTTTCTGTCTCCCCGCCTCCCCACGCAAACCCCTCAGGTTGGCCTGGAGCGGCGCTCGTTTAAAACCTTCTTGGGCTCTGAATCGGCATGGGGTCTGAAATCGGGGCTTCCCCAAGCCGTCGGGAACCCTATGAAAGACCTGGGCAGCGTGCACCCTTCAAGGAACTTCAAGGTACATGAACCGCCTGCAGTGACCCACCCCCCTGGGCAGCCCCAAAACCCCGACCATCCCAAACATCCCTTTCCAGACCCCTTGGCTTGGCGGAATTGAGGGGGTTCCGCCTGCTTGCCACAAGGCCCAGATCCCGGCTTCACACAAGTTAGCCGCATGCGTGAGCCCCGGAGCGTTCTAGGACCCTACTAGGAAACAGGTAGGGGGAACAGGTCTCAGTACGCCAACCCTCCAAAAAATCCCCGTTTCTGTGCATGTCGACTCGGCGCTTCTCGGCGCGCGAAGGAGAAAAACAGCGAAGGCTGGCACACTGCGGCCCTCGAGGCCCTGACCATCATGCCTGCCAGCGTCCTGGACCAGAGGGGAAGGAGGGTGCACAAATTTCGGGAGGTGCTTCGCGGCAGGGCTTCTAAATACGGGCCCGGACATCTTCTTAGACATAGCTCTTTTTGAGAGGGTCTCGTCACGGTCTCGTCAACAATGGAGGGGATGGTGTGCACTGTGCAGTTTTCGGAAACGTGGATGTAAGAGAAGGCACCTTGGAGCTCCCCCTTACGAAGGCCTTCTGAAAAAAAAAGGCTTTGAACAAAGCCACTTTGAAAGCCGCTGCCAGGCGTTCTTTCGAGCTCTCGCCGCAACCTGCCCCTGCTGTTTGTTTAAGTTTGGGTACCTGACTGCTTGCTGCTTGCCAGCCTGTGGTGCGGGCTGCGCTGGGGCTGTGGGCCATTGCTGCTCGAGTAGAGTTAGGGGATCCCTGTCTCATCTTGGCATTTAGGGACGGCCTGAGTTCTGCAACTCCGGTGTGGAGCCTTCAAGTCCGGGGCTTCGGGCCCTTCGGGCCATGGCTGAGGCCTTCAACGAGATGTCCCGTATGTATCTTATTTTGCAAACCATGCAAACCTCCGAAACCGAGCCCTACAACCCCCCGCCGCCTTGTCGGCGCCGGCGTTCAGCAGCGCCCGGAGGCACTCCAGCTGGCCGTTCATCGCTGCGATGAAGAGCGGGGTCGCGCCTGGGGCCAAGACCCACGCACGGAACACAATATTTTCCCAGGCCGTTCGTATCATTAGCCTGCTCGCGTTTACGATGCGTTTACCGTTTACCCTGCTGAATATGGGGAGTGGGATCTTGGGGCAAGCTCGCAGAAGCTGGACGGGAGCTTTGGAGTTCTGGTGCCTGGCTGAGCCTCTTCCAGGGCTCTTTGCCTTATGGACCCTTCGTTCCCTCGTTCTGGTAACCCCTCAATTTCGGGGTGCGCCATCCTTCTTGCTTAGAAGCCCCCCGGTTCACAAAATGTTCCCCTTTGCAAACTTGACACTGAGAAAGTTCCACGGGTGCCCAGGCTCGAACCCAGGTTGCCTGGTCCCCTTCGGCAGCTGCTCGGGGGGGGGAGGGGGGTAAGGGGTAGGTTCTCCCGCACACGGCAGACGCTCAAGGCCCCAACCCCACCCTCCAAACGTCCCATTTCAGAATTCTTGGCGAACTGAAAAAGTCCCAGTGGCACCACAGGCCCTGAACCCCGGTTCCCAAAACAGTCCCTATAGTGTCATCGACAGTGCTCATGACAAACGCTGTGAGCATCCCGAAGGCTGAGGCCGGGAGAAAGCCCCGCTTTTCAAAAACTTTGTAGGGATTCAGAGGCTACGCTTTACAGACCTTTCCGTCTCCCCGTCTCCACACGGCAGAAAAAACCTGAAGGCCAGGCTAACTCAGACCTTTTGGGGGTCTAAAATGGTGGATAAAGAGGGGAACGCATCCTTCAGTGTTCAAGGTAAACGCGCGTGATCGCGCGTGCTTTTCTCATTACGAAAGAGGAGAGTGAACCATCTCCAAGCATGAGCCCCGCGGCCCTCTAGGACCGAAGGAAAGAGGTAGGGAAAAGGTCTGAATAGGTCTGAGTAGGTGAGGAGACCCCCGTTTCAGACTGCCAACCCTCCAAAGTCATTCCTTTGAAGGCCCTTAACAAACTGAGGAACATTCCCATGCATGCCCAGGCCCGAACCCAGATTCCCTGGACCCCTTCGGCTGATGGCATGACCGACATGCTCGCATTGCGGCAGCTCGCCTTTCTGGGAGAAAGCTTGTTTAAGTCTTTCGAGCACATGCCCCTGCTGCAAGATGTGCGCGCAAACCGAGAAGAAGTGACAGTGCCAGGCAGTTTTTGGGGGGACATCGGAGGCTGAGATTTCTGGACCTCTCTGTGTCTGCATGGGGGTTCTGCCAACAGACATTTGCAGTAAAGGCCCGGTCTTTTCAGTCGCCCTAGCCCCAGCAGCCCCAACTGATGTCGAGAAACCTCGACACAAAGAAACACTCCAGTGACTACAGTACAGTATATATGCTGTATCTGTGCAGCAGCACATCGCCGCCCCCTTCGAGATGGGCAGCGCATCGCCTCCCCCTTCGAGATGGGTGTATGCTCCCCCTGCGATCCCCTGCCTTCTGCGCACGTCGACTCGGCGCTTCCCGGCGCGCGAAGGAAAGAAAAAAAAAACAAGCGAAGGCTGCAGCACTCTGCGGCCCTTGAGGCCCCGGGCCGCTCTCCAGGCGAGCGTCCTGGCACCAGGGGGGTGGAAAAGCGGGCGTGCAACTCGGGAGGGTGCTTTCGAGGCAAGGCTTATGTTGGAGATGGGAAACGTCTAGGTATGGGTGGGGGACTTATAACAAAACATAGATTTGCTCTGAGGGGGTCCCGTCAACACTTCAGGAACGATGCGTGTGTATTGTATCTATCTATAAGGCGTGTGGATCGGTATCTATCTAAAAGGCGTGGGGATCGGCAGATGGCGCGCGCCGTGCAGCTTCTTTGGAGATGTGGTGGGTGGAAGCGAAGGCGGCATGCCCCATCGTTTCATTGCGGGCGACTCGTCGAATGTGAGGCCGATAAGAGCTTGCGAAGTCTTTCCTTCATGGCCCCTGGTAGCTTTGGGCCTCCCGTTCGGTGAGGCCATTTCTCAGGACCGCTGCGGGCCCTCCGCTTCCTTAGACCTTGTCTTTTGTTGATGGATGTGCGCCACTCTCTCCGGAGAACGTCTGGGAAGTCAGCCAAATCACGATTGACGCAGCATGGGGCTTGCGAGGGTCCGAACCCGGGGTTACCCGGACGTGTGGGAGTTCTGCCTAATCGAGGAGGCACTTGGAGCCAATCCTGCCGCAGGCCGATGCAGGCCGCACCCCCTTCGCCCCAGTTCTAGGCTGGCATGCCTCCCCAACATGTTCTCGTGGGGCCTTTCCTCGCTCTCATTGGACTCAAAACCCTACTCAACACGGGGCTGTTCTGAAGGATCGACTTCACTGGAACATATATCGGAGACTGCCCCTGCTACGTTACATTGCAAAAGATCGTTTCACTCCGAGCTGAGAGAATGAGAAGGTTGCAAAAGGCTGATGAGGCTTCAGAACACTCTTTCTTGAGGGCCTGAGATCTTGGGGGGACCTTTGGGTACAGGAGAGGAACTTTCAGGTTGAAGCATGCAGCAGTTCTCTCCCTGACTCCGTTTTGCCACTCTGTATTGGAAGCAGCTTCTTTCGGAGCCGGCCGCCCCTTGTGTCTCTCTCCTTCCCTCTCCATGCCCGTTGCAGCTTGAACACCGCAGACCCAAACCCTCGCGCCTTCTCGGCGCCCGCGCGGAGCAGCGCCTCCAGGCACGCGAGGTGGCCCTTGTGCGCTGCGATGTGGAGCGGGGTCCAGCCTGGGGCCGGAGGGCATAGGAAGCGCCGGTCTGCCGCTTCGCACACCGGACCGACTGCAATGCTGCGCAGCGCGAAAGAGGTCACATTTGCAGAAAGATCTCTCCAAAAAACCTCGCCACGATTTGGCCCGCTTTGGAAGGTTCAGGGTCTGGGTTCCGCTTGGCTACTGGATGTGTCTGTTCCGGGAACCAGTTTCAGGCGCCAGGAGCAAACCCACCCTTTCGGGTCGAGTTGCTCTTTTGACGAAAGCCCTCTCTTGAAAGGATCCGAAATGGTCGCGCAGCTGCGTGCAACGTGCGGGACAGGCAGTACAGGCGCATCCTTAACCCGCCCGTGAAGGCTCCTGCTGTGCTTCGTCTTGACGGCTAAGCTTCGATGATTGGTAGGGGGGGAGTGGGCTGGGAAATGAAAACGAGCGGTGAGCCGATGCCATGAAACATTCCTCCCTATATAGACCTAAAACTACTTGAGCAGAAGGCCGTTGTTGTTGTCACTATTGAACACGGCGCTTAGGGAAAAGCAATAAAGGGCTGAGGGTTGAGAACTGAAATCTGACAGGTTCCGTCCGAAGCTATTTGTGATTCGAGGGTTTAGGCTTGCAGGTCTGGCGTCAGAAGTTTAAGGTTGGGCTGAGTTTGCCTCGGACAAAAACAACAGATTCATTCAAACTTTCGGAGAGCGTGTGTGGTCGAAGAAATCGTGCAGCCTGGACCCTGTCACGGCAGCACTGCCTGCAAGGATGGTACGCACTTTCCCTCCCTGAACCATCAACTGTGCCAAACGTGATTGGCTCAAGCTCGCGCGCAAATCGAGAAGATGTGACGGTGCTGGGCAGTTTTGCCGGGTTTTGGAAGTCTCGTGGGGGGTTTCCAGGGCCTGCGTGTTTTCAATCGCCCCAGCCCTAGCCCCAGCTTTCCAGAAACCTCTACAAGAAGAACCACTTCAGTGACCAGAGTATATGCTGTAGCTCTACGGCAGCGCATCGCATCCCCTTCGAGATGGCTGTACACGTCGACTCGGCGCTTCTCGGCGCGCGCGAAGGATCAAAAACTCGAAGGCTGCGGCACTCTGCGGCCCTTTGAGGGCCCGGCCATTCTTCTTGCGGGCGTCCTGGAACCGGGGGGGACAGGAGGGGCACACACATCCCAGTTGATGCTGCTTTATGTTGGAGAAGGGGACCGTCTATATAATTCTGCGGATGATGCGCGCTGTGCAGTTTTGGAAGGCCTTGGAGCTCCCGAGGGCCTCTTACAGGGTTCTACAAATTTTGCCGCCTCTTGAAAGCGCGACTACGCGGCTACACGGAGTTTGGGGCGCCTTGCCTTCACTTCTTTTGATGCCCTGGCTCGAGCGGAGCTTGGGGATCTCTCTCCATCTTTGGCTTCAGGGACGGCTTGAGTTCTGCAACTCCGACGCGGAGCCCGTCGAGCTCAAAGCTTTCTGCCATTTGGGCCGCGCGTGAGGCTTTTCGGAGCCCCGGCATGGAACCGGCTCTTTTTCATTTCATGTCTCCGTTGTTTTGCAAAGCTCTGTAATCGAGCCCCAGCCCAAGCGCCTTGTTGGCGCCGGCTTTCAGCAGCGCCTGGAGGCACTCCAGCTGGCCATTTTCCGCTGCGGTGTAGAGCGGGGTCGCGCCTCGGTACAAAAGCGCGAGCAAGGGAAGCTTCGCAGCGGACCGGCTCTACTGTCCCACAAGACCAATGGTTTAATGCAAACAGGCTGTAACAGGCTGTGCTCTCCGAAAGAACAAAAAGTCTTCCCGACCAGAGGTCTCTGAAGATTGGTTTTACATTTTTTGGAGAGCGCAGATGGTTGCTCTGGACAAAATGGGTTTTTGTGGACAGGACAGTACGTCGGAGGCGTGAGAGTTGCACAACTGTTGCATCGTCCAAAAAGCAAACTTCTAGCGCAAACATGCTGTGCTTTTGCACAAAAACAATCTGCGGCAACCTCGGGGCCAATTCATGCCCAGGGTGTGAAGATCCCAGTATCCCAATCACGGAGCAACCTTCACATACAACATGCGGTAACTCTGAGATTGCATCACTTGCCACTCGAAATACTGGGAGCCAATACTCTCAAAGCCAAGTGTTTCTGGACTTTTGGGGGTCGACAAGCAACAACAGCGAAAAGCAGGAACTGCAGGCCAAAAGCTCATGCACTCATGATGGGGCCAGGAGGCCTAAAGAATTCAATCAACTACTCGGTCTCAGAGAGCCACAGAAGGTGGAGAAGGAATGCTAGGGTCGAGGATCCTAGGTCCTGCTATGCTAGGGTGCAGTATGTTTGACTGTCCTGATTTTCAGAAGCGTGCCCGGAGTTTCTGCATGGGGCAAGGCACCGCTTGCGGAAGCTGACTCTGTCGAACTTCAACCTTGCAGCCCTGCCCGAGAGCCAGGCCCATTTCATCTTGCTGATCCTGACGCTCAACACAGATATCGCAAGAATGGTTTCCGGCCCTCACTACACCTTGCTGTCCGCATCAAACTTCGGTTTATTCGTATATGCTTTTGGCTGACGGAGGTGATCAGGAAAGTCCGCTTGCTAAATCAGGCGCACCTTGTCTGCGCCATCGGCCAGCAGCGCCTCGAGGGACTCCCGGTCGCCAGTTCTGGCGGCTTCGCGGAGGTTGGCGCAGCCTGAGCACCAGACCAACCCATTGGGCTGCCGGGGGGGCCGGGCAAGAGATGAATGATGAGGCACATGTGAAAGGGGAGGGAAGGCGGAAGGCGACCCTAGCCCCTACATCGCAACTCCCGCAGGCTGTCCTTGGCCCTTCTGGCCGGCTGTGCTGCCTTGCTTGGGCTCCTCCTCGCAACAGGCGCAAGGTGGGAAGGCTCACCATGAATGGCTTTCGAGGCGAAGTCCAGTGCCACGTAGCGTGTTTCCTTCCACGCCGATGCTTTCCCGAACTCCCCGCGCCAAGCGCCTTGGGCGTGGCTTTCCCCGGGCGCAGCGCGCTGCCCGCCGGCCCGGCCAAGGTGGCCGCCGAGCTGCTGGAGCCCAAAGCAGCCTCCTGCCAAATAAAAAAGCACATTCTTCGATAAGGCCCGTACGAAGGCGAGGCTTTCAGGGTGCTGCAGGCTCCCTCAGGCTGAAGCCGATGCGGAAAAAGATGTGTGGCTTGGCTATGCAGACTATGCTTGGCTTGTGGAACTCTCAGTTCCCTTCTCCAGGTCCTGAAACCGATGAGGACCCCGAACCCTTAGCAAAGTACACTTCCTTTGCATGGAGAGATGCCAGCCCTCGTCCTACCCGAAGCAGCACGGCTTGCGAAACACAGAGACTGTGGCTGGTTTGTCGCAGACTACATGACTACAATCACCAAGAGCATACGCGTGGTCTGTTCACCCCTTGCGTCTTGGAGCCCTCATTCAGGATTAAAGAGAGAACGTGAAGGAGAGGAAGGGAGAGCGCCAGAAAGATCTGAGCAGCGTGTCTCTGTGCCGGTGCCCATCTGGGCTCCCTCACACCGGCTCCGCGGGGGAACTCATGCTGTAGCTGCCATGAGCATTCTACTATATGAGTATTTTTGTGATAGGGAAGTCAGGCCGAAGCTCTCCACCAAAATCGCCACCACAAGCCCCACTGCCCTACTGCAGCGTCAGCCCCGGCGCCTGTGCATCGTCTTTGGCCTGAGCCTGCGCCTGCTGCCTTAGCTGTTGTCAGCGCAGCTCCGCACACCCCCTCCAAACACTCCGGCAGCTCATGTCTTTACGTGGCGCAGCAATCTAGGATCTAGGATGTCTGCTTTCGGTCCTCCGCGCCAGGGGGAACGTCCGAACTCATGCAACAGTGAGGCCTACAGAGAATCCCAGCCCCTGGGGCCCAACCTTCTTGTAAACAGGCATGTGCTGCCAGTCTTCAGCTACACTAGGCCCTGCACCCCGAAGGGACTTTGTCGCTGTGGTGTCGTCAGGACATCCCAGCAACCTCCACATGGCGTGCCTAGGCCACGGCCACCCCGACAGCGCAACGGTCACAATAAAACAACATGCGGCCGAGCGTCATGGGCCCACCATGGCCCGACGACTTGCGCTCCAGGCTGGCGGGAGCCGAGCCCTCGGCCTGCAGGGAAAGCAAATCACATGAGACGCCAGGAGAGGTCTCGTGGCCCTGGGCTGGCTCTTCCAGCGTTCCACCACATGGCACCTTCCGCCCCAGAGTCCTTTGACCCTCTGGAAACCCCGAGATGGACGTTTTCAGGGCGCACAGGCCCCTGCATCGAAACTTCGATGAGGACTAGCGGCTGACTGGCAACTGCGCCCCCCTCAACAGCCCCGCGCAGACTGTAGCCTCAACTGATGTTCCCCCCCCCCCCCCCCCCCCCCCCGCGTGCGCACTGAAGGCTCCCAAGGCTGAGTGTCCCGCGGCGCCGGTCACATTTCATATTCTATTCTATTCTATTCTATTCTATTCTGCTCTATTCTATGATTTAGTGACTTATTTATATGGGATTATATATATATATATATAACACCAGGTGGCAGTAGAATCGCAGAGGGCGATTCGAGGCTCTGGGGTCACTCGTCTAGCGCTCATTCCGCTCCCTGAGTCCCTGAGCCTTTGACACTCTCTGAGATCCCAAGCCCCAAATTCCTCCCCAGCCGCTCTCGCCCAGGGCTACACCCGCATTTCGACCCTCCTCGAAGCTTCGATGATGTCCAGAAGACTGCGCCCCCCTCAACAGATCCAGACCCAAGTCTCAAGTCCGTGTGCGCAGGGGCGCTGTGGGAAACAGTCAACGAGGAACTGTGATCGCAGCTTGCACTGTCTAGTCATGACCTGCACGAGCTTCAGGGCCCCTGCCTCGGACTCGGAGCCCTTGCGCAGCTCTGCCGCTATCTTCGCTGCGATGGCGCCTGCCTCCAAGAGCTGCGCCGTGTCCTCGTCGGCCAAGCAGTCGATATGGACCTTGCTGGCTGGCATGGCCATGCGCACCAGGGCCAGCGCCTCACCATCCTTGTCGAAGGGGTGATGGTCTCCATGGGGCGGCAATAGCTCGGATGGCCTCGTCTTGCAGACTCGCAGCGGCACCACCTGGGGGCTCTGCAGAAGACATGCTAAAGTCTAGTCATCCCGATGTCAGCGTTAATCATTGCTGCCTGCATTATCCAGCTTGTTGGCTTTTCCCCACCCTTCCTCGCCCGGGTCTCCTGCACTTAAAAGTTACTTATCGCCTGGGGTCTCCTACAAGGTCACAGAGAATCCTGCAGAGTTCTCTTTGGAGTGCCCACTGTTTTGAGAATCCCACCCACAAAACAACCCCACGGTGAGAATGCCCTACAGAATATTCCTGGAGTGTCCACCACAGCGAATCCCGCAAAGAATCCTGCAGAGAGTGTGCCTGCAGCGCAGAATATCTCTGGAGTGCCCATCCATGCCTAGAATATCCCACAGAAATCCCAAAGGTGCAGGGCAGCGCCTTACATAATTAATTCGGTGGCCCTCTTTTCCAACCGCACACCTGTACTTTGTTGTCGTAGGCAAACTGGAGCTCGCAGAAAGAAGAGTACATGGAGCCGGTCATCTCCGCGTACTTTGCGGAGCAGACTGCGAGGAGAACCCCCTGTGAGGTGAGGAGCTTGGCAAGGAAGCGCTTGGTGTCCTTGCCGAAGTCGTCTCCTGCGCCAGCCTTCACCATGAGCACATTGTAGCCGCGCTCCTGCAGGATGGCGTGCACCCGCCGGAAGGCGGCCTCGACCTCGCCGCCGTCGAAGCGGGCCGAGAACATCCCGGTGCGCGCCCCGGCCGGGGCCTGCGGGATGCTCTCGCTGGCCTGGCAGCGCTCGCTGAACCTTCAACTCCCGAAGTCCCTGCTGCTCAGCCTCTGCTCCCTTGCTCCCTTTCAAGCCCCGAATCCTGTTTTTGCCGACGCGGAAGCGAGCCTGCGAGGCTGATGGAGGCATGGAGGCTCGGAGGCTCCGGCCTGGCAAAGAGATTGTGTGTTTTTTGGAAAGGGTGCAAATGAAGCCCCTTCTTGGGCATCTCTGCGACATCGGGAATGACTGACGATACTTGGACACACTTGGCATTGGGCTTCAGGGGCGGCTGCAGGACAACTGAAGCCAGGCCCAGGCCTCGACTTTCCTGTTTCGCACTTTCTGGGGCCAGGCCCAGGCCTCGACTTTCCTGTTTCGCACTTTCTGGGGTTGGCGGTTTGGCTTGCCCTGGTTTCCATGCCCGCCTGCCTGACATCATTATACAAACATAGCGTGATCAGAACACTCTCATGCAACGGATGTTAAGACCGAAGCAAACCACCTCCCCACCAGTTGCCGGTCACCGGACGAAGAGCCCGCCGAAGCCCTACAAGCCCCCCAACAGAACCAAACGCACAACTGCGAACTCTGCAAAGCAAACGCGCCAGAAGCGAGCCTGGTGTTCTGGTCCCGAGGCGGATCTGGATGTTACATCCACAGGCTGTCGCCAAGATTTGTGGCTAGGACTGACTTGAACCGATCGTGTTCGGCCACTGCCTGTCTAACCCTGCGCTTGCTGTTGCTGCTCGAGCTTCTGCATTTCGTGCGCATTGCTTGCCCACAAGGTTGCGTGGTTGGCTGCTCGTACAGACGCTGCTGTGCTACTGCTCTCCTTGCAGCAAAGCCGAGAAGTGCTTCGGGCAGGCAACAAGCTGCGGTCTCCCAGCTCAAACTGGAAAGAAGTTGTTTGTCATCTGCAGATCAGGCCCCCCCCTCGGATAGAAGTCTCAGTTGCACTTCCTCTAACATCGAGATGGCTCTAAGCTTTAGATGTCCAGCAGGTTACGTACTTGGTACAAGGTTTCAAGCTCACAGAGCCCACATCACGCGACACGCCGCGCCCTGCGAAGGAATCTACAGCGGTGAGGCAACGGAAAGGTCGGTCAGGTTCGGGCTTTTGGGCTTTTTGGGCTTTTGGGGCTGCCGGATTTTAAAGGCTTTTCAGAGTAAAGGTCTTAGGACTGTCCAGGGCCTCAAAAAAAGCCAAGCCGGGAACCCATCACCACCACGCTCTCACCCGTGCAAAGCTCATTCATCGAGACGGCACTCCTTTCTTCCCAGCATCTGCCGGCCATTCGCTGGTGGTTTCCCTCCCGGCTTCAACCTCAGACCCGCTCCCCATCGCTCGCCCCTCCATCGCTGCCCGCCCGCTCCCTTGCCACTCCAAGTGGGGGGGACGAAAACTCGGGAGAGTTGCTTCGAAGAGCGAGGCGGCGACGTAGGCAGACGTTCGTGGGAGACAGTGCGTGTAAGCAGGGAAGGATGTACAAAACGCAAAAGGATGCTTCCGAATCGGCTTTGTTGCCATGTCTCCTTGCACCCCCGGAATCAAACCCCGTGGCCACCAGCGGCAATCCTCTCATGATCAGATTCGGGGGTTCAGAGCTTTCGTGGCTCCTCACTATAACACTTATGCAACAAACGAATAGACCCCGTATGGCCCCATCAGTCAAGACGCAGCTTCTGGAGTCACAGAATTGCGTAGGGCTCGAGGTTGCTTGCGAGCCATGGCATGCTACCAGCAGGGTTTTGGGGAAGTTGGGGACGAGAGGAGTTTTGTGGTCAACATAATGCCCAAATTTGACCGATCAGCTCGAGGGGTGGAAGGGCACGGGAGCCGCGGGAGTCTATGCCCGTGTCCTTGGGCAAGTCTGTTGGTATCTGCTCGTCGCTCTTTTCTCTCTCGTTCCCTAGCTTCCATGAAGGGCGCACAGTCTCATCTGCGCCTCGGCACTGCTTGGCAGCCGAGTCAACAGAATGGGATTGGCTCGCAAAGGATTCCTCCGCTGCCGGCCGCTTCCTCTATTCATCTGCCTTGCCGGCTGAACCCGGGTACTCTGGCACTGGAGGAATGCTGCGGGAGGAGCAAGCGGCCTAGCAACAAGCCGAAAACTAGACTTCACCACATCACAGCTCAAGACGATGCCACGGACTTTCGTCACTTGCAAGGTTTCCTGTGCCACTTCGCACCAAAAAACTCAGCAAAGGCTGCCAGGTACAAGAGTATGGGGCCCTTACGTGCCAGCATGTGCCAGTGAGGATGTTAATCCAAATCACCAAAAGCGCTGAGTGGACACGAAGTGGGTGAAACGTCGAAGGTGCGCGGGGACCGGAGATCAGAGCTGCCCGGCCTCTGCCTCTGGGCACCGTCGGCTTTCTGCAAGCAAAGTTCTGGGTGAGGTATGGTGAGCACGTCGTTTAGCCAAAAAACCCTACCATCCCTAACCCACCCCAAACATGAATCCCATGACGCCAGCAAGCAGAAGCCTGGCTGAATTTTCGCTTCCATCCCACAAAGGCCCCAAAACGACCTCTCACAGAAGCGGACCCTCGCCAAAAACCATCAAGTGCAGAGAGCCCGAGACTTCACAAGTCCTGACACCCAGGGAGAGGCGGATTCCAGGACGCGCATGTCAGGGGCAGCTTCCGTTTTTGTGGGCGCATGCCGGAACATGCCAAGTCAAGCCATGCCTAAGCCCATAGAAAGTGCGCGAAAACTCGAAAGCCGAAGGTGCAGAAGCTCCCCATTCTGGATTCCTTACACAGCACAAAACGCTCCAAGATGAGCCTCAGTCCTAGGCAGCACCGCCCTGACCCCCCGAAAAGCCTCCACTGAGTTTAAGACAAAACCCTCAGAGCCCCCAAACTTCCCCGAAGAGTCCTATAGGCCCCCTGGGGAAGCCCCCTCCCCACCCTAAGCTCCCCCCCCCCGAAGTCCCACTAGCAAAAAAGCCCAAGCTCGCTGCCCCTCTGAGGATGTCTGAGACGGACATGCTTTCCCAACACCTCGACCCAGAATCCCCACACCAGGGCGCAGTAAGGGAGCCCCCAACACAAAGCGACTTTGCGCGCAAAATCGCTCCCCCAAAGACCAGGGACCCCGGCGTCGGGCTGCGGATACGCGGCCTTGAGCTTTTGTGAAGGGCCGCCATGGCGCCTGACATGGGCCCCAAAGGCGAAAGAGCGTGCAAATCGGTTTTTGAGGTTCAAAAAAGGAAAGCGCCCGTCAGTTCACCCCCCCCTTCACGGCAGGTAAGAGGAATGTTTTGCAACAGCCGCAACAGCAGTGTCGCCACGTCACGCTGCTCTCTGGGATCGCTGGCGTTCTTGCTGTTTGGATGCATCTTCCTCTTGATCTTTCTGGGGATCTCGTTATTGTTCTTCTCACTATTCCCAGGCAGTCTCGCCCTGTTCGGGCTTTGATGGGGCGAGCGGTGACATCGCCCAGCAAAACTTCAAATATTAGGAAAGAGAGGCCACCCCCAGTGCGCAGCGCAAGCGTTCCCAAGGACAAGCCCGGGGTTCGGGGCACTGCTGCTCCGCTGACGAAGTGGCAATGAGGCAATGACAGTGAAACAAAGCTTCTTACTTCGCTCACTCACGACCTGACTTTGCCTGTGAAGCGAAACCTCCCTCTTCCCCCCCTGCTGTGCAATGTGCAGATGGACAGCAAGCCAACTGAGAGTTCGCAGCATTACTGTAAATTATGAGATGGGGCTTCGCCAACAGGCACGCACCTTAAGCAGCAGAGAGCTGTACCACAACACACATTGGTTTAGTGCCACACTTCACTCATTCAAAGCTGGACCCGGTATGTTCACGTCTAGAGTCTGGACTCTAGACGTTGTCATTGGCTCCCCTTGCGTGTGGACTGACTCTCTTCTTCTGCCTGCTGCCTCCCCCAGATCCACGGATTTGCGGAGCATGCGCCCGAATCCAAATCCCCTTTCGCAACGTCTGGTTCTTCATCATCTGGCTCCGGTTCAGCTTCCCCGTCAAATTTTTCATCGAGCTCATCTTCGACCTCGATGTCGCTTGGCGCACCTTCTTCCTCCCTTATTCTATCTCGATGTGCACCATCTTCTTCGTTCTGCATTCTCTCCTCTCTCTGCCTCTCTCTCACAGATTGCCCTGTGGGCCGGCGCCGGCTCACACCCAGCACGCCCGCGCCGCTTCCTCCACGAAGATGTCTAACATCTGCTCATGCACAGCCCCAAGCGGCATAGCGATGGCGGTTTCTACGGTCCAAACGCCTCCCGTGCCGCTTCAAACCCAATGGTACGAGTTTGTTTCGGCCACAGCTCGCTTCCCTCAACTTTCCTTGACCTTCCTGAGAGGATCGATCGAGAGCTTAAGCCTTAAGCCCTGAGATTCAGGGTGTCGCAAAGTGTGAAAGTGTGTGTGTGTGTGTGGTCTGGGCACTCGCATGCGCTCGCTCTCGAACGCTCTCGGACGCTCTCGGGCTTGGCGCAGAAGGCCTCGCGCGGCACACTCTGCTGCTCGCGTCTGCTCGCGATGCCCATGGCAAGCCAACAGTGTGAGCCAGAGAAAGCCGGCTTTGGAGCTCTCGTGCTCTCAAAAAGCTACAGTACGTCAATGAAAGTTTAAAGGCAAGCCCTGCTTCTTCGCCTCAGCTGGCGCCGGCGGCCCGCAGCGCATCGGCGCAGCCCTTGTGGCCGTTCTGCTCCGCCCATCCAAGGGCCGTCTTGCCTCGGTGTCGAGCACAGGCGCCCTGCGACTTTCTGGGAGTTCCGGGCATTTTCAGGGAGCATGGGGTGAAGCCACGAAGGTCGAGGAGCAAGAGAAACTCTGGGTTTGATTTTTAGGGGATCTGAGCTTTTGTGGGTCTGGGCCTCCCCAGGCTGGGAAGATTCGGGCTGGGGAAGATCCAGAGCTTCAGGCTCAAAGCTTTTTTGACTCTTTCGTTCTAACAGTACGGAAGACGCTGCCCGAGCACGGCACCCGAACTCTGTTTTTGGATCGGGGTCGAGGCCTCGGCTTGCCTGGAGAAGGTTCTGAGGTCGGGGCCGCTGAACTGCGCCGCCTGGCGATGGAAGGCAAAAACTGTCCGAAGGGGGGGAAGTAAAGTCGTGCCTCGAAAGCTAGCTGTCAGCGCTTTAGAAACGAAGATGGGTGCAGGTACTTTCCCCTCCGCATCCCATCCCCCAGACTTTGGGTCATCCCGCCATTTCTTGTGGGCCCTCTTGCGAGATGCGGCCTTTGCAGGCTGCAGGCCTTGGAAAGGCTCTGAACAGCGCTGTGGAATCCAGTCCAACCCCCTGGCTGAGGCTTGTGTTCTTGATCCGTTGTCTGCGGCGCAGAGGCTGTTGCTGCTCGACGGCTGGCACAGGTGGAGACTTAAGCTTAAGGCGGCAGGCCTCCCACGCAGGCCAAGTGCTCCCCTGCCTCCCTCCCTCCCTCCCTCCCTCCCTCGGCCTTGCCGGCGCCAGCACGGAGCAGCTCCTCGAGGCATTCCAGATGACCGTTGTGTGCCGCTATGATGAGCGGGGTCACGCCTCGGGCCGAGTGCAAAGGAAGCTTCACAGCCGACCGGCTACAATGCATGCAGGCTCAACCCACATTGGCCACTTCTGGCCCCGGCCAAGGACTTGTGTGACAGATCCCCAGAGTAAAACCCATACGAGTACGATTCCCATCCGTGACATTCCTGAAGCCCTGGCTTGTGGCGAAGCAGGAAGGCCAGCGATGCGCCGCACCGAATTTGATTCTCATGCTGTGGAGTTTCTTGCTCGGAGTGTGGTGAAGCATTCCGATGCAGTCTGCCGAGTTACGAAGCGGGAAGGTTGGGAAGGCCAGCGATGTGCCACGCTCCCTCTGGCAGTGAGTCAGGAGGCAGCAGTGGGATTTCCCGCTCAGAGTAGGGTGAACAGCCAGCGGCACAGCCTTCGCAATAGCCGATTTTCAAGTTTTGGTGAACGTTGCTGGATTTGAAAGAAGCTGTCCGCTTCTTTGCTGCAGAGGACTCGCATCCGGAGTCCATTTCTTGGGTTGTAAGAAGCCCACCTCCGTGCTAAGGAGGAGTCTGCTGGTTTTTGAGAGTGATCTGAAAGTGTTTGAACATTGCAAGCCTGAACCCAAAGCCCCACATTCAGCAAGCCCTTGCAAAGCCTGGAGTGCCATAGACCTTTCAAACTTCAGTGAGCGTGGCAATCCTGTCAGCTCCCGAGCAAGATTTTGAATAGGCCCAGATTGGGGTCTAGCAGTCATGACTCGGACTTGTCGCAGTGGCAGGAATGGTCTCATGCGTTCAAGTCTTGGCTGATGTTCGCAGCAGGGAGCTCGTTTGAAGCAGAGCTGCAGCATGCCGATGCCCATCTTGATCAGGTTGTGACGGTGGCTAGCATGATTCCCGAGGTTGCTGCTCGCAGCCAGCGCCTGTATGCCATCCTCTCGAGCCGCTTGAACCATGTTGAGAATTAAGCCTCGAACAATGCTTGGTCAGGTGGAGAGTAGGAGTGGGTGTATGCCCCGAAGTCAAAGGCGAGCTCGCTTGCCCTGTTGCATGCACTGGTGTCCCTGCTACCCGTTGGTAAGGACAAGTCGCTTCGTGAACATAGCACAGCCATGGAACGCATTGCTGCTGAGAAAGAGTGGCTGGAAGGCCATCGGTGATAATGTGTTGCCCAATCACCTGCGTCAGCAGATTCAACTTCAGATGAGTGAGAGTGCAGTATTTATCCTGTGTGTCAACGGGGCGGTGTTCAGCTCGCACACAGCATTGGCAATGTGCTGCCTTCTCGAAATGCTGGCATACACGGCTTGGCACGCAACAGCGTGCAGTGCCTTGTGTTCTGTTCCCCATACCGAACATGGTCCATTCTTTCTTTGCTTCAATTGCAATAGGTTAGCAAGACGTTGGGCCGGGCATGCGGTCTTGTGCGCCGCGACCGGCTCAAGATGGACGCACACATCGCGAAGGGCCCGGCAGCTTTGGTGGGCTTCCAGGGTGTGCCTTCCAGGCTACGAGCCCTTTTTGACCCTTGGATCGAAGCCCGAACCCAGTTCGCCTGTGGCGAGGTGGTGTGGTCGTTGAGCTTCATTAACTTCATTGAGGATGCAGGCAAGTGGGGCTTCGTTGAGGACGCAGGCAAGGAGCAGAGGGGTGTAAAGGTTGCAGGTCCGCTATTGGCCGAAGCCAGGTGGCGATGCCGATGTATTTCTGGAGCCTTGACCCCCGGAGTTGGGGAGGAGATGTGGGGAATCTAGCACGCAGTGAGCGTGTGGGAAGGTTTCTTCTCGGGCAACGGCATCCCTGGAATGGAAGGCTAAGTCTGTGGACGTGAAGGGGAACCGTGTGCCGCAGGAAGTCCAGCCGAAGGCTCCGCGAGTTCGGACTACCTGGACGTGCAACGCTGCCCAGGCCAATCATCCCGCCCCGGCGTCTGGAGAAGAATCCGGGGTGGAGACAACCCGACTTAAGCAGTCTCTCAAGGCGGGGAGCGACTTGTACACGAAGGGGCAAGGGCTCTTTGCCCTATAGACCTTTCATTTCCTCGTTCTGGATCGGAGTGGAGGAGGGCGGGGGGGGGAGGATCTTTTTGGGGTCTAAATGGGTAATAAATGGGGGCTCTCCAGACGTCAGCTGGAACCCATGAAGGATCTTTGTCAAAGTGCACACTTCAGATTTCAAGGTGTGCACGTGCTTGCATAAACCGACTGCGTGCGTGTGGCCCCAAACATCCCATTTCACCAAACATCCCATTTTCAGAGGGGGGGATTCCCACGGGCACCACAGGCCCGAACCCAGGTTCGGCTCCCACGGGACAAATGCACCTCATTCATGGCTGCAATCCCGGTATCCCGAATTTCAGGGGGCAGCCTCCATACATACACCATGCTGGAACTCCGAGATTGCATCACGGGACCCACATGTCTGCTCAATGGCCGCCCAGAAGCGCGGCACGAAATAGATTCATTCAAACTTTTGCAGTCAAAGACAACGTGCAGCCTGGACCCTGTCACCTTTGTGGCAGGGTATGCTCCAGCTTTGGGGGGTGACGGATGGCGACGAGGGCTTCTGGGGCCTATGGCTGCCTGCCTTCGACGGTGCTGCCTCCCAGTCTCCTCACGCAAACTCCTAAGGTTGGCCTGGAAGAGCGGCGCTCGTTTGAAACCTTGTTTTAGGATCTGAAACGGCTCTTAAATCGGGGGTTCCCCAGACGTCAAGAACCCTATGAAAGACCTGGGCAGCGTGCACCCTTCAAGGATCTTCAAGGTACATGAACCGCCTGCAGTGACCCACCCCCCTGGGCAGCCCCAAACCCCAACCATCCCAAACATCCCTTTCCAGACCCCATGCCTTCCGCCTGCTTGCCACAAGGCCCAAAATCCCGGCTTCCCAAGTTAGCCGCATGCGTGAGCCCCGGAGCGTGCTAGGACCTTCTAGGGAACAGGTAGGGGAAGACGTCTGAACAGGTCTGAGTAGGCCAACCCTCCAAAACATTCCCCCTTCTGTGCATGTCGACTCGTGCATGTCGACCCGCGCTTCTCGGCGCGCGAAGGAGAAAAACAGCGAAGGCTGGCACACTAAGCAAGAAGCCCCCCGCTTCACAAAAAGTTCCCCTTTGCAAACTTGACACTGAGAAAGTTCCACGGGTGCCCAGGCCCGAACCCACCCTATTAGGAAACAGGTAGGGGATCAGGTCTGAGTAGGCCAACCCTCCAAAAAACCCCCCTTTCTGTGCATGTCGACTCGCGCTTCTCGGCGCGCGAAGGAGAAAAATAGCGAAGACTTGCCGGCACACTGGGCCCTTGAGGCCCTGGCCGTCGTGCATGCCAGCGTCCTGGACCAGGGGGGAAGGCGGGTGCAAAAATTTCGGGAGGTGCTTCGAGGCAGGGCTTCTAAGTACGGGCCCGGACATCTTCTAAGACATGGCTCTTTTTTGAGAGGGTCTCGTCACGGTCTCGTCAACAATAGAAGGGATGGTGTGCACTGTGCAGATTTCGGAAACGCAGATGTAAGAGAAGGCACCCTGGAGTCTCCCCCTTACGAAGGCCTTCTGAAAAAAAAGGCTCTGAACAAAGCCACTTTGAAAGCCGCTGCCAGGCGTTCTTTCGAGCTCTCGCCGCAACCTGCCCCTGCTGTTTTTTTTAAGTTTGGGTACCTGACTGCTTGCTGCTTGCCAGCCTGTGGCGCGGGCTGCGCTGGGGCTGTGGGCCATTGCTGCTCGAGTAGAGTTAGGGGATCCCTGTCTCATCTTGGCATTTAGGGACGGCCTGAGTTGCAGAACAGTTCTGCAACTCCGGTGTGGAGCCTTCAAGTCCGGGGCTTCGGGCCCTTCGAGGCATTCAACGAGATGTCCCGTATTTATCTTATGTTGCAAACCATGCAAACCTCCGAAACCGAGCCCTACAACCCCCCGCCGCCTTGTCGGCGCCGGCGTTCAGCAGCGCCCGGAGGCACTCGAGCTGGCCCTTCTGCGCTGCGATGAAGAGCGGGGTCGCGCCTCGGGCCAAGACCCACGCACGGAACACAATATTTTCCCAGGCCGTTCGTATCATTAGCCTTCTCGCGTTTACGATGCGTTTACCGTTTACCCTGCTGAATACGGGGAGTGGGATCTTGGGGCAAGCTCGCAGAAGCTGGACAACCCACCTGGCGGCACGGGAGCTTTGGAGTTCTGGTGCCTGGCTGGGCCTCTTCCAGGGCTCTTTGCCTTATGGACCCTTCGTTCCCTCGTTCTGGTAACCCCTCAATTTCGGGGTGTGAAGGGGGGAGGATCTTGCAAAGTCCTAATGGGTCTTCAATGGGGGCTCTCCAGACGTCAGCTCAAGAACGGACCTTTGCAAACTTCAGGTTTCAAGGTGTGCACGTGCTTGCATAAACCGACTTGCGTGCGTAAGCCCCATGCAGCTCCAGCCCGCCCCCCCCCCCCCAAGCATCCTATTTCAGAGCCCTTGGCGAACTGAACTGGGGGGATTCCCACGAGCACCACACGCCGAAACCGAGTTCGGCCCCCGCAGGACAGACAAACGCACCTCCCGATTTTCAGGGAGCAGACTCCACATACACCACATACACCATGCTTGCACTCTCAGCTTGCATTACCTCACCCACGTGTCTGCTCAATGGCCGCCCAGAGCGTGGCCAAAAAATAGCTTCAAACTCTTGGGGAGCGTGGTCGAAGGAAAAGTGCAGCCTGGACCCTGTCAAGGCTCAACTTTGCAGGGCATGCTCCAGTTGTGACGGGCTTTGGAGTCTTAGTGGGAGGCCTTTCTGTCTCCCCGCCTTCCCACGCAAACCCCTCAGGTTTGCCTGGAGCGGCGCTCATTTGAGACTTTTTTTGGGCTCTGAATCGGCATGGGGTCTGAAATCGGGGGTTCCCCAAGACGTCGGGAACCCTATGAAAGACCTGGGCAGCGTGCGCCCTTCAAGGAACTTCAAGGTACATGAACCGCCTGCAGTGACCCACCCCGGGCAGCCCCAAACCCCAACCATCCCAAACATCCCTTTTCAGACCCTTTGGCTTGGCGGAATTGAGGGGGTTCCGCCTGCTTGCCACAAGGCCCAGATCCTGGCTTCACACAAGTTAGCCGCATGCGTGAGCCCCGGAGCGTTTTAGGACCCTATTAGGAAACAGGTCGGGGGAACAGGTCTCAGTAGGCCAACCCTCCAAAAAATCCCCGTTTCTGTGCATGTCGACTCGGCGCTTCTCGGCGCGCGAAGGAGAAAAATAGCGAAGACTTGCCGGCACACTGCGGCCCTCGAGGCCCTGACCGTCGTGCATGCCAGCGTCCTGGACCGGAGGGGAAGGAAGGTGCACAAATTTCGGGAGGTGCTTGAAGGCAGGGCTTCTCAATACGCCGGACATCTTCTTAGACATAGCTGTTTTTGAGAGGGTCTCGTCACGGTCTCGCCAACAATAGAGGGGATGGTGTGCACTGTGCAGTTTTCGGAAACGTGGATGTAAGAGAAGGCACCTTGGAGCTCCCCCTTATGAAGGCCTTCTGAAAAAAAGGGCTCTGAACAAAGCCACTTTGAATTGAAAGCCGCTGCCAGGCGTTCTTTCGAGCTTTCTCCGCAACCTGCCCCCGCTGGTTTTTTTTTAAGTTTGGGTACCTGACTGCTTGCTGCTTGCCAGCCTGTGGTGCGGGCTGCGCTGGGGCTGTGGGCCATTGCTACTCGAGTAGAGTTAGGGGATCCCTGTCTCATCTTGGCATTTAGGGACGGCCTGAGTTCTGCAACTCCGGTGTGGAGCCTTCAAGTCCGGGGCTTCGGGCCCTTCGGGCCATGGCTGAGGCATTCAACGAGATGTCCCGTATTTATCTTATTTTGCAAACCATGCAAACCTCCGAAACCGAGCCCTACAACCCCCCGCCGCCTTGTCGGCGCCGGCGTTCAGCAGCGCCCGGAGGCACTCCAGCTGGCCCTCCGAGGCTGCGATGTAGAGCGGGGTCGAGCCTCGGGATAAGACCCACGCACGGAACACAATGTTTTCCCAGGCCGTTCGTATCATTAGCCTGCTCGCGTTTACGATGCGTTTACCGTTTACCCTGCTGAATATGGGGAGTGGGATCTTGGGGCAAGCTCGCAGAAGCTGGACGTCCCACCTGGCAGCACGGGAGCTTTGGAGTTCTGGTGCCTGGCTGGGCCTCTTCCAGGGCTCTTTGCCTTATGGACCCTTCGTTCCCTCGTTCTGGTAACCCCTCAATTTCGGGGTGTGAAGGGGGGAGGATCTTGCAAAGTCCTAATGGGTCTTCAATGGGGGCTCTCCAGACGTCAGCTCAAGAACGGACCTTTGCAAACTTCAGATTTCAAGGTGTGCACGTGCTTGCATAAACCGACTTGCGTGCGTGAGCCCCAGGCAGCTCCAGCCCGCCCCCCCCCCCTCCCCCAAGCATCCTATTTCAGAGCCCTTGGCTGAACTGGGGGGATTCCCACTAGCACCACACGCCGAAACCAAGTTCGGCCCCCGCAGGACAAACGCACCTCCCGATTTTCAGGGAGCAGACTCCACATACACCACATACACCATGCTTGCACTCTCAGCTTGCATTACCTCACCCACGTGTCTGCTCAATGGCCGCCCAGAGCATGGCCAAAAAATAGATTCAAACTCTTGGGGAGCGTGGTCGAAGGAAAAGTGCAGCCTGGACCCTGTCAAGGCTCAACTTTGCAGGGCATGCTCCAGTTGTGACGGGCTTTGGAGTCTTAGTGGGAGGCCTTTCTGTCTCCCCGCCTCCCCACGCAAACCCCTCAGGTTGGCCTGGAGCGGCGCTCATTTGAGACTTTTTTTGGGCTCTGAATCGGCATGGGGTCTGAAATCAGGGGTTCCCCAAGACGTCGGGAACCCTATGAAAGACCTGGGCAGCGTGCACCCTTCAAGGATCTTCAAGGTACATGACGCGCCTGCAGTGACCCACCCCGGGCAGCCCCAAACCCCAACCATCCCAAACATCCCTTGCCAGACCCCTTGGCTTGGCGGAATTGAGGAGGTTCCGCCTGCTTGCCACAAGGCCCAGATCCCGGCTTCACACAAGTTAGCCGCATGCGTGAGCCCCGGAGCGTTTTCGGACCCTATTAGGAAACAGGTAGGGGGAACAGGTCTCAGTAGGCCAACCCTCCAAAAAAAAAAACCTTTCTGTGCATGTCGACTCGGCGCTTCTCGGCGCGCGAAGGAGAAAAACAGCGAAGGCTGGCACGCTGCGGCCCTAGAGGCCCCGGCCATCCTTCTTGCTTGGAAGCCCCCCGTTTCACAAAAAGTTCCCCTTTGCAAACTTGACACTGAGAAAGTTCCACGGGTGCCCAGGCTCGAACCCAGGTTCCCTGGTCCCCTTCGGCAGCTGCTCGCGGGGGGAGGGGGGTAAGGGGTAGGTCTCCCGCACACGGCAGACGCTCAAGGCCCCAACCCCACCCTCCAAACGTCCCATTTCAGAATTCTTGGCGAACTGAAAAGGTCCCAGTGGCACCACAGGCCCGTCATCGACAGTGCTCATGACAAACGCTCTGAGCATCCCGAAGGCTGAGGCCGGGAGAAAGCCCCGCTTTTCAAAAACTTTGGATTCAGAGGCTATGCTTTACAGACCTTTCCGTCTCCCCGTCTCCACACGGCAGGGAAAAAACCTGAAGGCCGGGCTAACTCAGACCTTTTGGGGGTCTAAAATGGTGGATAAAGAGGGGAACGCATCCTTCAGTGTTCAAGGTAAACGCGCGTGATCGCGCGTGCTTTTCTCATTACGAAAGAGGAGAGCAAACCATCTCCAAGCATGAGCCCCGCGGCCCTCTAGGACCTAAGGAAAGAGGTAGGGAAAAGGTCTGAATAGGTCTGAGCAGGTGAGGAGACCCCCGTTTCAGACTGCCAACCCTCCAAGGTCATTCCTTTGAAGGCCCTTAACAAACTGAGGAACATTCCCACGCATGCCCATGCCCGAACCCAGATTCCCTGGACCCCTTTGGCTGATGCCATGACCGACACGCTGGCATTACGGCAGCTCGCCTTTCTGGGAAGAAAGCTTTTTTAAGTCTTTCGAGCACATGCCCCTGCTGCAGGGATGGCACACGATTTCGAGAGGCCTCAACTGTGCCATACGCGATGAGCTCAAGATGTGCGCGCAAACCGAGAAGTGGTGACAGCGCCAGGCAGGTTTTGGGGGGACATCGGAGGCTGAGATTTCTGGACCTCTCTGTGTCTGCATGGGGGTTCTGCCAACAGACATTTACAGTAAAGGCCCGTCTTTTCAGTCGCCCTAGCCCCAGCAGCCCCAACTGATGTCGAGAAACCTCGACACAAAGAAACACTCCAGTGACTACAGTACAGTATATATGCTGTATCTGTGCATCAGCACATCGCCTCCCCCTTCGAGATGGGCAGCGCATCGCCTCCCCCTTCGAGATGGCTCTGCTCCCCCTACGATCCCCTGCCTTCTGCGCATGTCGACTCGGCGCTTCCCGCCGCGTGAAAGAGAAAAAAAGGAAAATAGCGAAGGCTGCAGCACTCTGCGGCCCTTGAGGCCCCGGCCGTCATTCAGGCGAGCGTCCTGGCACCAGGGGGGGTGGAAAAGAGGGCGTGCAACTCGGGAGGGTGCTTTCGCGGCAAGGCTTATGTCGGGGATGGGAAATGTCTAGGCAAGGGTGGGAGACTTATAACATAACATAGATCTGCTGGGAGGTCCCAGACTTCAGGAACGATGCGTGTGTATTGTATCTATCTATAAGGTGTGGGGATCGGCAGATGGCGCGTGCCGTGCAGCTTGTTTTGGAGATGTGATGGGTGGAAGCGAAGGCGGCATTGCGGGCGACTCGTCGAGAGTGAGGCCGATAAGAGCTTGCGAAGTCTTTCCTTCACGTCTTGGCCCCTGGTAGCTTCGGGCCTCCCATTCGGTGAGGCTAGTTCTCAGGACCGCTGCGGGCCCTCCGCTTCCTTGACTTTCTGCTTTTATTGATGGATGTGCGCCACTCTGTCCGGAGAACGATATCCTGCTGGTCTTGGGAAGTCGGCCGAATCACGAATGACGCAGCATTGCGAGGGTCCGAACCCAGCTTGCCCGGATATGTGGGAGTTCTGCCTAATCGAGGAGGCACTTGGAGCCAATCCTGGCGCAGGCCGATGCAGGCCGCACCCCCTTCGCCCCAGTTATAGGCTGGCATGCCTCCCCAACATGTTCTCGTGGGCCCTTTCCTCGCTCTCATTGAACTCTAAACCCTACTCAACACGGGGCTGTTCTGAAGGATCGACTTCACTGGAACATATATCGGAGACTGCCCCTGCTACGTTACTTTGACTCCGAGCTGAGAGAATGAAGGCTGAAGGTTACAAGCCTGAGGCTTCAGAAGCTCAGATGCCACAGCGTCTATGAGTCATTATGAGTCTTCGGCTTCTATAAACGCGCGCCACGCCGTCTAGAATGATGCTATGTCCGATTCTACAGCAGAAATTCTGTAAGGGGTTCACGAATCACATGGAATCACGGTTGACAGAGAGTAAGAGAGTGCAGGTTTTGGAGGGATTGACCGTGCAAGGCAGGCTTCATATGACGGCGCAGGGTTCGCAGCGTCAGGAAGAGCCATTCACTTTACGAAGCTCCTCCTTGAAAGGGCTGCCCTTCCAGCCCGAGAAAGTCTCGCAGGCTGAGGTACCCAAACGGTCTTCGCCCCAGCTGCTTGGAGTCGTTTCGGTGCATGCTACATGTTGCCGCACTCTTTCTTGAGGGCCTGAGATCTTGAGGGGACCTTTGGGTGCCGGAGAGGAACTTTCAGGTTGAAGCATCTCACTGATGCAGCAGTTCTCTCCCTGACTCCGTTTTGCCACTCTGTACTGGAAGCGGCTGCTTTCGGAGCCGGCCGCCCCTTATGACCCTCTCCTTCCCCCCCCATGCCCGTTGCAGCTTGAGCTGCAAACCCGATCCCCTGCGCCTTCGCGGCGCCCGCGCGGAGCAGCGCCTCCAAGCACGCGAGGTGGCCCTCATCCGCTGCGGTGTGGAGCGGGGTCCAGCCTCGGGCCGAGGCTTCGCACACCGGACCGACTGCCATGCCGAGCAGCGCGAAAGAGGTCACAATTGCGGAAAGATCTCCCCAAAAAAGCTTCCCACGATTTGGCCCACTTTGGAAGGTTCACATTCTAAAAATTCCGCTTGGCTACTGGATTTGTCTGAGCGGCTGGTTTCCGGGAACCAACTCCAGGACTCCAGGCGCTCAGGAGCAAACCCACCCTTTCGGCTCGAGTTGTTCTCTTGACGAAACCCCTCTTTTCTGAACAGGGTCTTGAAAGGATCCGGAATGGTCACGGGACCCGAGCTAGTGAAACCTCCAGCTGCGCGCAACGCGCAGGACAGGCGCATCCTAAGGTTCTGATTCCGAGCGGCGAGCCGATGTCGAATCATTTCTCCCTATAGATTCTTAGATTTTAAATCTGAAGCAGAAGGCTTTGTTGTTTTCACGATGACAGCCTCGGTCTACGGGGCTGAGGGTTGAGAGCTGAAGATGTAACGCGTTTGGGACTTGAGGCTTGGTGCAGTATTGGCGTTAGAAAGTTTAAGCTTGGGCTGAGTTTGCCTCATTCACTTCACAGCTTGACCCGCGTGTCTGCTCCATGGCCACCCAGAGCGCGGCAAAAAAAGAGATTCATTCAACCTTTTGGAGAGCGTGCGTGGTCGAAGAAACAAGCTCCGAAGGTTGGCCTGCAGGGGCGCTCAATTGAGACTTTTTTGGGCTGTCTGAAAACGGGGGGGACCTGGGCAGAGTGCGCCGCGCCTGCAGTGAGCCCGGGCAGGCCCAAACCAACCCTCCCAAACATGCCGTGTCCCTGGGCGGAACGGGCGGGGGGGGGGGGGGGCAGGGGGTTCCCACGAATGCCACAAGGCCCAAACTCGGCTTCAAGGCATCTGCACGCGTGAAATCCCGCAACCCTTGAGGACCTTGTAGGAACGAGGCCGGAGTAGGTTCGAAACCACCGCTTCGGACCAACCCTCCAAAGTTCTCCTCTTGAGACCCTTAGCTGAATAAAGCTCCCATGGGTGCCCCAGGCCTCCAACCGAAAGGAACTGACAGTCTCGCATCTGCTCGCGCAAACCGAGCAGATATGACAGTGCCGGGCAGTTTTGGGGGCTTCTCGGTGGGCTGTTTCCGGGGGCTGTGGTTTTTCAATCGCCCTAGCCCCGGCTGATTTCCAAAACCCTCTACAAGCAGAACCCCTACTACAGTACGGTATATGCTGTAGCTCTACTGCAGCGCATCGCATCCCCTTCGAGATGGCTGTACACGCCGACTCGGCGCTTCTCGGCGCACGAAGGAGAAAAGACTCGCTGCGGCACTCTGCGGCTCTTCCCTGAAAGGACCTCAGGCGGGGATCTTACACATCTGTGTAGGGCATCCGCCCAGCTGCTCAAGGCATGGGGGCTCCGATGCGGAGGATGTCCCACCCGGCAGCTCTGGTGCCGCTGGGGGAAACCCCTTCAGGTTCGAGGGGGGGGAAGATTTTTTGGGGGGTCTTAACGGACCATAAATGGGGGCTCTCCGGACATCAGCTCAAGAACGGAACCTACGAAGGACCTGGGCAGTGTGCACACCTCCGATTCCGATTTCAAGTGATTTTCACATAAAGGGGATACAAGCGAACCACCTGCATGCCCTGGGCAGCCCGGCCCGAACCCATGTTCCCAAGCAGCCTGAACCCGCTCACATTTACTTTACAGCAGCACAATCGACGCTGCTCATGACAAGCGCTCTCAGCATCCCAGAGGCTTAGGCCAAAAAGAGAGCCCCTCTTTTTGTCAAACCACTTTGGCAGTTTTGTCTTCCTTGTTGTTTCGAGGCTGTGACGAGCTTCGAAACCGTCCTTGGCCCTCTCCGATGGCCAAGCATAAACGCCCAGCAGCCGACGCGAAATCTAGGGAGCCTGCTGAAACTTTTTGATCGGTGCATCCGCATCCTGTCCGCCTACATACACAGTTGGAGGCCCTGGGCGTCCTTCATGGGGAGGTTCCTTGATCTTAAATTGAGAAAGTTCCCGCGGGTGCCCAGCCCCGAACCTAGGTTCCCCTTTTTCAGCAGCTGCTACCATGACCGACACGCTCGCATTGCAGCAGCTCGACTCGGCGAAGACCTGCTTCTGACATTCTTGGAGCAGCAAGGATGGCACCCACTTTCGACGTGGCTCCCTGAACCATCAACCTTGCCATACGCGACTAGCTCGAGACAGGCGCGCAAATCGATAAGAAGTGACAGCACCGGGCAGTTTGGGGGCGTTTTGGAGTTCTGGTGGGGGGGGTTCCAGGGCAGTGGCTGTGAGAGCCGCTCGTTCAATCGCCCTAGCCCCAGCTGATTTGCGGAAACCTCTACGAGAAGAACCAGAAAGATCTCCCCAAAAAACCTCGCCACGATTTGGCCCGCTTTGGAAGGTTCAGGGTCTGGGTCCTGCTTGGCTACTGGATTTGTCTCAGCGGCTGGTTTCCGGGAACCAACTCCAGGCGCTCAAGAGCAAACCCACCCTTTCGGCTCGAGTTGCTCTCTTGATGAGAGCCCTCTTTCTGGACAGGGTCTCGAAAGGACCCGAAACGGTCGCGCAGCTGCGCGCAACGTGCGGGACAGGCAGGCGCATCCTTAACCCGCCCGTGAAGGCTCCTGCTGTGCTTGGTCTTGAAGGCTAAACTTCGATGATTGGTAGGGGGGGAGTGGGCTGGGAAATGATTCCGAGCGGCGAAACATTCCTCCCTATATAGACTTAAAACTACTTGAGCAGAAGGCCTTTGTTGTTGTGGCAAAAAGCAATAAAGGCCTCGGCCTAGATGGCTGAGGGTTGCCACAAGGCCCGAATCCCGGCTTCGCAAAGCATCTGCATGCGTGAGCTCCCGAAGCCCTTTAGGACCTTACAGGAAAGAGGTCTGAGTAGGTTCGAAGGCCCCTCAGGCCAAGTCTCCAAAGTTCTCCCTTTGGGACCCTTAAAAAGAGAAAGTTCCCATGGGTGCCCCAGGCCCAACCGAAAGGTACCGGCATGCTCGCGTTACGGAGGCTCACCTTTCAGACAAGACCTGCCTTTGTGTATGTTTCGCAGCACTGCGTGCAAGGAAGGTACGCACTTGCGAGGTGCCTCCCTGAACCAGCAACTGTGCCACACGCAATTGGCTCAAGCTGCGTGCCGGGCAGTTTTGGTGGTTTCAGAAACCTCTACAAGAAGAACCACTACACTGACTCCAGTATATGCTGTAGCTCTACGGAAGCGCATCGCATCCCCTTCGAGATGGCTGTGCACGTCGACTCGGCGCTTCTCGGCGCGCGAAGGAGAAAAGACTCGAAGGCTGCGGCACTCTGCGGCCCTTTGAGGCCCCGGCCATCCTTCGTGCGGGCGTCCTCAAACCAGGGAGAGAGAGGAGGGGCGCACACCCCACGTGATGTTTTTTTGTTGGAGAAGGGGACCGTCTAAATCTGGCTCCGGACATTTCCAAATTTCAGCTCTTGTCGAGAGGGTCCCGTCAAGAACCCAGAAACGATGCACAAAACAAAAAGAGAGGGGACGTGCAGAATTCTGCAGATGTTGGGAGATGTGGTTGGAAGCGAAGGCGGCCTTGGAGCTGCCCCTTACGAAAGCCGCTGAAAAAAGCTCTGCATTTGCCAGGCCCCATTATTTCATGGCAGGTGCCCTCTTGAAACTACACGGCTACACAGAGTTTGGGGCGTCACTTCTTTTGATTCTGATGTTGTGCGGCAGCGGCACATGAGACTTTGCTACATGCACCTCAAAGGGCCCCAGGAGCAGCAAACAACTTCAGGGCATCTTCTGGTGTGTACCCTGCCCCGCAGAACATGTCACAGTTGCTTGCAGTTTCTTTCGCTCAGAGCCGATGCACTCTTTCTGGAATCATGCGCTGTCTGATTTGACAAGGGAAGCTCCGAAGGCCTCTGGCTATGGCTGCTAGCTGCAGGAATTGTCGGGAGGCTTGCTGCATCCTCACTGCTTTCCACGTTCGTTTTTGCTTTTGCTGGTATGGCGTGTATGGCGTGCGTGGCTTGGACTCTGCACGCAGTAACGGCTCAAGTTTTTCGAAGTCTTGCTGCAGAGCGGACCAGACAGCCGCACATGGCCCAAAACCTCTCAACCGACTCAACCCGAAGTCGCGAACTCCCAAACCCTAAACCCCCATTAAACCCTCCCAAATCCTACAAACCCTAAACCTGCCTTGAAGCCTAAAATCCCAAATCCTACGCTCCCTCCGCCCCTCAACCCGCCTTCCCATCCCTTGCTGCAAAACAGTTGCCCTTTAAGGATTTTTCGGGAAGTGACCTCTGCGAATCCCGGCTTGGCTTTCGGGACCGCTTGGAGTTCTGCAACTCCGGGCTGGAGCCTTCAAGTCCGGAGCCTGGGGCCACTCAAGAAACTTGCAAACCTCTGTAACCGAGCCCTCAACCCCCCGAGCGCCTTGTCGCCGCCGGCGTTCAGCAGCGCCCGGAGGCACTCCAGCTGGCCTTTCACCGCTGCGATGTGGAGTGGGGTCGCGCCTCGGGCCAAGACCCGCGCTCGGAACACAATGTTTTCCCAGGCAGCTGGTATTAGCCTGCTCGCGTTTACGGCGCTCCAAGCATCCTGGAGGCTGAAGCCAAGAAAAGAGAGCCCCACTTTTGTTTAAAAACTTCAGCTTTTGAGTTCCTTTGCCACTGCTAACAGCTTTGAGGGCTTTGGAGTTGCTCTGGGAACGCAGAGGCCATGCGTTATAGACCTTTCCGTCTCCCCCTTCCGCCCACGGCAGGGGGAGGGACCACCTGAAGGCCGGGCTACCCCACTCAGACCTTTTGGGGTGGTCTACAATGGTGGGTAAAGAGGGGAGGGGAACGCATCCTTCAGAGTTCAAGGCAAACGCGCGTGCTTCTCTCATAAACGAGGAGAGCGAACCATCTCCAAGCGTGACCGGTGGCCTCCAGGATCTCAGGAAAAAGGTAGGGAAAAGGTTTGAATAGGTCTGACTATGTGAGGAGTCCCCCGTTTTTCAGACCCCCACCCTCCAAAGTTCCCCTTTGAAGACCCTTAACAAACTGAGAAAAATTCCCACGCATGCCCAGGCCCGAACCCACATTCCCTGGACCCCTTCGGCTGCTGGCATGACCGACACGCTCGCATTGCAGCAGCTCGCCCTTTTGGGAAGAAAACATTTTTTTCATCTTTCGAGCACTGCGATGCTGCAGTGCGCACACCGAGAAGAAGTGACAGTGCCAGGCAGTTTTTGGGGGACATCGGAGGCTGCGATTTCTGGACCTCCCCCAGCATCCCCAGCTGATGGGGCTTTGGAGTTCTGCTGCCTGGCTGGGCCTCTTCCAGGGCTCTTTGCCTTATGGACCCTTCGTTCCCTCGTTCTGGTAACTCCTCAATTTCGGGGTGTGAAGGGGGGAGGATCTTGCAAAGTCCTAATGGGTCTTCAATGGGGGCTCTCCAAACGTCAGCTCAAGAACGGACCTTTGCAAACTTCAGGTTTCAAGGTGTGCTTGTGCTTGCATAAACCGACTTGCGTGCGTGAGCCCCAGGCAGCTCCAGCCCGCCCGCCCCCCCCCCCTCCCCCAAGCATCCTATTTCAGAGCCCTTGGCGAACTGAACTGGGGGGATTCCCACGAGCACCACAGGCCGAAACCAAGTTCGGCCCCCGCAGGACAAACGCACATCCCGATTTTCAGGGAGCAGACTCCACATACACCACATACACCATGCTTGCACTCTCAGCTTGCATTACCTCACCCACGTGTCTGCTCAATGGCCGCCCAGAGCATGGCCAAAAAATAGATTCAAACTCTTGGAGAGCGTGGTCGAAGGAAAAGTGCAGCCTGGACCCTGTCAAGTCTCAACTTTGCAGGGCATGCTCCAGTTGTGACGGGCTTTGGAGTCTTAGTGGGAGGTTTCCGGGCAGGCCATGGCTGTGTGCCTTCGACCTTTCTGTCTCCCCGCCTTCCCACGCAAACCCCTCAGGTTTGCCTGGAGCGGCGCTCATTTGAGACTTTTTCTGGGCTCTGAATCGGCATGGGGTCTGAAATCGGGGGTTCCCCAAGACGTCGGGAACCCTATGAAAGACCTGGGCAGCGTGCACCCTTCAAGGATCTTCAAGGTACATGAACGCGCCTGCAGTGACCCACCCCGGCAGCCCCAAACCCCGACCATCCCAAACATCCCTTGCCAGACCCCTTGGCTTGGCGGAATTGAGGGGGTTCCGCCTGCTTGCCACAAGGCCCAGATCCCGGCTTCACACAAGTTAGCCGCATGCGTGAGCCCCGGAGCGTTTTAGGACCCTATTAGGAAACAGGTAGGGGGAACAGGTCTCAGTAGGCCAACCCTCCAAAAAAAAAAACCTTTCTGTGCATGTCGACTCGGCGCTTCTCGGCGTGCGAAGGAGAAAAACAGCGAAGGCTGGCACACTGCGGCCCTAGAGGCCCCGGCCATCCTTCTTGCTTGGAAGCCCCCCGTTTCACAAAAAGTTCCCCTTTGCAAACTTGACACTGAGAAAGTTCCACGGGTGCCCAGGCTCGAACCCAGGTTCCCTGGTCCCCTTCGGCAGCTGCTCGGGGGGGGAGGGGGTAAGGGGTAGGTTCTCCCGCACACGGCAGACGCTGAAGGCCCCAACCCCACCTTCCAAACGTCCCATTTCAGACCCCTTGGCGAACTGAAAAGGTCCCAGTGGCACCACAGGCCCGAACCCCGGTTCCCAAAACAGTCCCTATAGTGTCATCGACAGTGCTCATGACAAACGCTCTGAGCATCTCGAAGGCTGAGGCCGGGAGAAAGCCCCGCTTTTCAAAAACTTTGTGGGGATTCAGAGGCCATGCTTTACAGACCTTTCCGTCTCCCCGTCTCCACACGGCAGAAAAAACCTGAAGGCCGGGCTAACTCAGACCTTTTGGGGGTCTAAAATGGTGGATAAAGAGGGGAACGCATCCTTGAGTGTTCAAGGTAAACGCGCGTGATCGCGCGTGCTTTTCTCGTTACGAAAGAGGAGAGCGAACCATCTCCAAGCATGAGCCCCGTGGAGGGAAAAGGTCTGAATTTGTCTGAGTAGGTGAGGAGACCCCCGTTCAGACTGCCAACCCTCCAAAGTCATTCCTTTGAAGGCCCTTAACAAACTGAGGAACATTCCCACGCATGCCCATGCCCGAACCCAGATTCCCTGGACCCCTTTGGCTGATGGCATGACCGACACGCTGGCATTACGGCAGCTCGCCTTTCTGGGAAGAAAGCTTTTTTAAGTCTTTCGAGCACATGCCCCTGCTGCAGGGATGGCACACGATTTCATATCTCAAGTGTGCCATACGCGATGAGCTCAAAATGTGCGTGCAAACCGAGAAGAAGTGACAGTGCCAGGCAGTTTTTGGGGGGACATCGGAGGCTGAGATTTCTGGACCTCTCTGTGTCTGCATGGGGGTTCTGCCAACAGACATTTACAGTAAAGGCCCGGTCTTTTCAGTCGCCCTAGCCCCAGCAGCCCCAACTGATGTCGAGAAACCTCGACACAAAGAAACACTCCAGTGACTACAGTACAGTATATATGCTGTATCTGTGCAGCAGCACATCGCCGCCCCCTTCGAGATGGGCAGCGCATCGCCTCCCCCTTCGAGATGGCTCTGCTCCCCCTGCGATCCCCTGCCTTCTGCGCATGTCGACTCGGCGCTTCCCGCCGCGTGAAGGAGAAAAAAAGAAAACATAGCGAAGGCTGCAGCACTCTGCGGCCCTTGAGGCCCCGGCCGCTCTCCAGGCGAGCGTCCTGGCACCAGGGGGGTGGAAAAGAGGGCGTGCAACTCGGGAGGGTGCTTTCGAGGCAAGGCTTCTGTCGGGGATGGGAAATGTCTAGGCACGGGTGGGAGACTTATAACATAACATAGATCTGCTCTGTGAGGTCCCAGACTTCAGGAACGATGCGTGTGTATTGTATCTATCAAGGCGTGGGGATCGGCAGATGGCGCGCGCCGTGCAGCTTTTTGTTTGGAGATGCGATGGGTGGAAGCGAAGCTGGCCTGCCTCATGGCTTCATTGCGGGCGACTCGTCGAGAGTGAGGCCGATAAGAGTTTGGGACGTCTTTCCTTCACGTCTTGGCCCCCGGTAGCTTCGGGCCTCCCGTTCGGTGAGGCTGTTTCTCAGGACCGCTGCGGGCCCCCCGCTTCCTTGACTCCCTTCTTTTATTGATGGATGTGCGCCACTCTCTCCGGAAAACGTCTGATTCTGCTGGTCTTGGGAAGTCAGGCGAATCACGATTGATGGAGCATGGGGCTTGCGAGGGTCCAAACCCGGGGTTTGCCCGGACATGCGGGAGTTCTGTCTTATCAAGGCGGAGCCAATCGGCCGCACCCCGAGCTGGCATGTGCCCGAAACAGCTACATCCCCTGCCCACGAGCCCCCCGATGATACTCCCGGAACTCCATCCGCTTTCTACGAATGAAAACGGGCGGCCTCTGAGGGCAGCCTTGGACTCCTTCGCCTCTGGCTACAAGCTGCAGGAGTTTTGGCACTTCTGCTGCGCATCCTCACTGCTTTCCATGTTCGTGGTTGCTTTGCTGTTGCTCTCTGTGTCTGCGAAGTTTCCACAACTTGCCGGAAGAAGACCACCGGCTCAGGTTGGCAAGGATGCCTGACATGCTAAGTCTCTTACGACGACAGGGGCCAGCGCAACCGACGAGCACGTGGTGTTCGGGCGGCTCGATGAGACTGAGGCCGCGGAGTTGGGGCACCTTTAGCCTTCACCCTGGTGGGGTTTCGGCCTCCGGCCGCGGAACATGTCACAGTTGCTTGCACTTCCTGTCGCTCTGAGCCGATGCACTCTTTCTGGAATGATGCGCTGTCTGATTTGACCGTTCTTGGTGGGAAGTCACGTCCAGCCTGCTCAGGGACTCTTTGAGCGGGAAGGTTTGCCACGACGGGAAGCCTTGAAGGCCTCTGGCTATGGCTGCTAGCTGCAGGAATTGTCGGGAGTCTTGCTGCATCCTCACTGCTTCCACGTTCGGTTTTGATGTTTTTGCTTTCCTGGTGTGGCGCGTATGGCGTGTATGGCGTGCGTGGCCTGGAGCGGACCAGACACCCGCACATGGCCCAAAACCCCTCAACCCACTCAACCCGAAGCCGCGAACTCCCAAACCCTAAACCCCTTCAAGCCCTCCCAAGTCCTACAAAGCCTAAACCTGCCTTGAAGCCTAAAATCCCAAATCCTAAGCTCCCTCCGCCCCTCAACCCGCCTTCCCATCCCCTGCACGGCATTCCCCTTCCCCTGCCCCGACTGCCCTTCCGAAACACTTGGCCGAGGATCACTCATGACATTCCCCCTCCCCTGCGCCGACTCCCCCCCTTGCTGCAAAACAGTTGCTCTTTAAGAATTTTTCGGGAAGTGACCTCTGCGAATCCCTGCGAAGGCCTCTGAAAAAAGACTCTGAACAAAGCCACTCTGAAAGACGCTCCATCTTGGGAGTTTGGGGCGTTGCTGCTCGAGTGGTCTGGGGGATCTCTGCCTCATCTTGGCTTTGGGGACCGCTGGAGCCTTCAAGTCCGGAGCCTGGGGGCCACTCGCAAATTTGCAAAACTCTGTAACCGAGCCCTCAACCCCCCGGCGCCTTGTTGGCGCCAACGTTCAGCAGCGCCCGGAGGCACTCCAGCTGGCCGTGCTCCGCTGCGATGTAGAGCGCGGTCGCGCCTCGGGCCAAGACCCACGCCCGAACACAATCTTGTCCAGGCAGTTGCTAGTATCATTAGCCTGCTCGCGTTTACAGCGTTCCAAGCATCCCGGAGGCGGAGGCCAATAAAGGAGAGCCCCCTTTTTGCAACCCCTTCAGCTTTTGTTTTCCTTTCCGTCTGCCCGTCTCCCCACGGCAGGGGGAAGGACACCTGAGGCCGGGCTAGCCAAGTCAGACCTTTTGGTGGGGTCTAAAATGGAGGCTAGCAAGTACGGAAGCCCATGACTGGACCGAGGAGAAACACATCCTGCAGATTTCCAAGCCGAGCGCACATACTGTATGAATACAAAGTGGAGAGCGAACCATCTCCGTGAGTCCCGGGGCCCTCTAGGACCTCAGGTAGGGAAAAGGTCTGAATAGGTCTGAGTAGGTGAGCAGACCCAGGCAAGTTCCCACGGATGCCCAGGCCCGTTCCCTGGTCCCCTGGTCCCCTTCGGCAGCTGCTAGCATGACCGACATGCTCGCATTTCGGAAGCTCGCCTTTCAGTTCAGGGAATGCATCTTTCGAGCCTTGCAACACTCCTGCTGCAAGGGTGGCCATACGCGATTTGCTCAAGATGTGTGCGCAAACCGAGAAGAAGTGAGAGTGCCAGGCAGTTTTTGGGGGACATCGGAAGCCGAGATTTCTGGACCTCTCTGTGTCTGAATGGGGGTTCTGCCAACAGATATTTAGAGTAAAGAGCCGCTCTTCTCAATCGCCCTAGCCCCAGCATCCCCGGCTGATGTCCACAAACCTCTGCAAAAAGAGACACTACAGTGACTACAGTATATATGATGTAGCATGCTGCGCATCGCCTCCCCCTTCGAGATGGCTGTATGCCCCCCCTGCGATCCCCTGCCTTCTGTGCACGTCGACTCGGCGCTTCCCGCCGCGTGAAGGAGAAAAAAAGAAAGAACAAGCGCAGGCTGCAGCACTCTGCGGCCCTTGAGGCCCCCGGCCGCTCTCCAGGCGAGCCTCCTGGCAGTAGGGGGGTGGGAAGGAGGGCGCACAATTCGGGAGGGTGCTTCGAGGCCGTGCTTATGTCGGAGATGGGAAACGCCTAGGTATGGGTGGGGACTTTTAACATAACATCTAGATTTGCTCTGGGGGGGGGGTCCCGTCAACACTTCAGGAACGATGCGTGTGTATTGTGTCTATTTAGAAGGCGTGGGGATCGGCAGATGGCGTGCGCCGTGCAGCTTTTTTTTTTTGGAGATGTGGTGGGTGGAAGCGAAGGCGGCCTGCCCCATCATTTCATTGCGGGCGACTCGTCGAATGTCTTTCCTTCATGCCTTGGCCCCGGTAGCTTTGGGCCTCCCGTTCGGTGAGACCATTTTTCAGGACCGCTGTTTCCTTGACTTTCTTCTTTTGTTGATGGATGTGCGCCACTCTGTCCGGAAAACGTCTTGGGAAGTCAGCCAAGTCACGATTGACGCAGCATGCGGCTTGCGAGGGTCCGAACCCGGGGTTACGGCCCAGGAGTGTGTTAAGAAATTTTATTAATTAAGAAATCTGGACCTGGACCGGCCACACATTTTAAAATCCAGGGCCTCGCGGGCTCGCCCCAAAAAATTCCGCCGAGGAAGTATTAAGCAACGTTCTCTGTCATATTTACCAAGAACCCAAGAAACTGCAAGCCTCAAACCCTCTAATCCCTTAAGCCCCGTAGTCTCAACCTAAAGCCTCTGCAAAAAGAGGCCCGGCACAAAAAGTCACCTTTTTTGAGGTGCTTGGGGCCGGAAAGGCCCAAAAAAGGTGACTTTTTGTGCCGGGCTCTTGCGGGGAAGAGGCCCGGCACAAAAAGTCACCTTTTTTGAGGTGTTTCAGGCTGGAAAGGCCCAAAAAAGGTGACTTTTTGTGCCGGGCTCTTGCGGGGAAGAGGCCCGGCACAAAAAGTCACCTTTCACGGCAAAACCTTTTCCATTGTAGCAAAGTAGTAAATACACATCATTCTCTTGAGGGTTTCAGAGTCCGAATAGCTCAGTGGCAAAGCAACAGTCCTTGATGCCAATGGGCACCAGTTCGAACCCCGCCGGGTTCATTTTGTGTCGGGCGGGTGCTCGAACCCCACCGGTTACATTTTGTGTGGGGGTTGTTCTGGGCCTGGTTTTGCTCTTCTTTCGCGATTGCCATAGAAACTGAGGTGTTTGAGGCCGGAAGGTGACTTTTTGTGCCGGGCTCATGCGGGGAAGAGGCCCGGCACAAAAAGTCACCTTTTTCGAGGTGTTTCAGGCCGGAAAGGCCCAAAAAAGGTGACTTTTTGTGCCGGGCTCATGCGGGGAAGAGGCCCGGCACAAAAAGTCACCTTTTTTGAGGTGCTTGGGGCCGGAAAGACCCAAAAAAGGTGACTTTTTGTGCCGGGCTCTTGCGGGGATCAGGGCTTAGGGCTTAGGGCTTAGGGGAAGAGGCCCGGCACAAAAAGTCACCTTTTTTGAGGTGTTTCAGGCCGGAAGGCCCAAAAAAGGTGACTTTTTGTGCCGGGCTCTTGCGGGGAAGAGGTCCGGCACAAAAAGTCACCTTTTTGAGGTGCTTGGGGTCGGAAAGGTGACTTTTTGTGCCGGGCTCTTGCGGGGATGCCGGGCTCTTTGCGGGGAAGCCTTTAAGGGCTCAGGGCTCAGGGCTCAGGGCTCAGGGCTCAGGGCTCAGGGCTCAGGGCTCAGGGCTCAGGGCTTAGGGCTTAGGGCTTAGGGGAAGAGGCCCGGCACCAAAAGTCACCTTTTTTGAGGTGTTTCAGGCCGGAAAGGCCCAAAAAAGGTGACTTTTTGTGCCGGCCTCTTGCGGGGAAGAGGCCCGGCACAAAAAGTCACCTTTCACGGCAAAACCTTTTCCATTGTAGCAAAGTAGTAAGTACACATCATTCTCTTGAGGGTTTCAGAGTCCGAATAGCTTAGTGGCAAAGCAACAGTCCTTGATGCCAATGGGCACCAGTTCGAACCCCGCCGGGTTCATTTTGTGTCGGGCGGGTGCTCGAACCCCACCGGTTACATTTTGTGTGGGGGTTGTTCTGGGCCTGGTTTTGCTCTTCTTTCGCGATTGCCATAGAAACTGAGGTGTTTGAGGCCGGAAGGTGACTTTTTGTGCCGGGCTCATGCGGGGAAGAGGCCCGGCACAAAAAGTCACCTTTTTTGACGTGTTTCAGGCCGGAAAGGCCCAAAAAAGGTGACTTTTTGTGCCGGGCTCTTGCGGGGAAGAGGCCCGGCACAAAAAGTCACCTTTTTGGAGGTGTTTCAGGCCGGAAAGGCCCAAAAAAGGTGACTTTTTGTGCCGGGCTCTTGTGGGGATGCCGGGCTCTTGCGGGGAAGCCTTTAAGGGCTCAGGGCTCAGGGCTCAGGGCTCAGGGCTCAGGGCTCAGGGGAAGAGGCCCGGCACAAAAAGTCACCTTTTTTGAGGTGTTTCAGGCCGGAAAGGCCCAAAAAAGGTGACTTTTTGTGCCGGGCTCTTGCGGGGATGCCGGGCTCTTGCGGGGAAGCCTTTAAGGGCTCAGGGCTCAGGGCTCAGGGGAAGAGGCCCGGCACAAAAAGTCACCTTTTTTGAGGTGTTTCAGGCCGGAAAGGCCCAAAAAAGGTGACTTTTTGTGCCGGGCCTCTTCCCCGCGTTTAGGGTTTAGGGTTTAGGGTTTAGGGTTTAGGGTTTAGGGTAGGGTTTAGGGTTTAGGGTTTAGAGCTTAGAGCACACCGAAAAGCTCTACACTGGTGAGTTACATGTTGCCCAACTCTGTCCCTATACTCACCTCTAATCAACCCTCGAATAAGAAATATATTTCAGGGTCTGGTTCAAACCTAACTTTCTTATTTCCATTTGGGGTTTTAAGAAATTTCGAAACCCTGGCTGAAAAAGGCAGATTTCTTATTAGAAGCCTCAGCCGTACCCGGACGTGTGGGAGTTCTGCCTAATCGAGGAGGCACTTGGAGCCAATCCTGGCGCAGGCCGATGCAGGCCGCACCCCCTTCGCCCCAGTTCTAGGCTGGCATGCCTCCCCAACATGTTCTCGTGGGCCCTTTCCTCAGTCTCATTGAACTCTAAACCCTACTCAACACGGGGCTGTTCTGAAGGATCGACTTCACTGGAACGTATATCGGAGACTGCCCCTGCTATGTTACTTTGACTCCGAGCTGAGAGAATGAAGGCTGAAGGTTACAAGCCTGAGGCTTCAGAAGCTCAGATGCCACAGCGTCTATGAGTCATTATGAGTCTTCGGCTTCTATGAACGCGCGCCACGCCGTCTAGAATGATGCTATGTCCGATTCTACAGCAGAAATTCTGTAAGGGGTTCACGAATCACACGGAATCACGGTTGACAGAGAGTAAGAGAGTGCAGGTTTTGGAGGGATTGACCGTGCAAGGCAGGCTTCATATGACGGCGCAGGGTTCGCAGCGTCAGGAAGAGCCATTCGCTTTACGAAGCTCTTCCTTGAAAGGGCTGCCCTTCCAGCCCGAAAAAGTCTCGCAGGCTGAGGTACCCAAACGGTCTTCGCCCCAGCTGCTTGGAGTCGCTTCGGTGCATGTTACATTTTGCTGCTCTCTTTCTTAAGGGCCTGAGATAGTGGGGGGACCTTTGGGTGCAGGAGAGGAACTTTCAGGTTGAAGCATCTCACTGAGGCAGAAGTTCTCTCCCTGACTCTGTTTTGCCACTCTGTACTGGAAGCGGCTGCTTTCGGAGCCGGCCGCCGCTTATGACCCTCTCCTTCCCCTCCATGCCCGTTGCAGCTTGAGCTGCAGACCCAACCCCCGCGCCTTCTCGGCGCCGGCGCGGAGCAGCGCCTCCAGGCACGTGAGGTGGCCCTCACACGCTGCGACGTGGAGCGGGGTCCAGCCTCGGGCCGAGGCTTCGCACACCGGACCGACTGCCATGCCGCGCAGAGCGAAAGAGGCCACAATTGCAGAAAGATCTCCCCAAAAAAGCTTCCCACGATTTGGCCCGCTTTGGAAGGTTCAGGGTCTAGAGGTTCCGCTTGGCTACTGGATTTGTCTGAGCGGCTG